TTTCCAGCGAAGTTTCATTTTTATTTTATTGTTGTGTCGCTCTGTGCTCTGTCCCCCCATTTCGAACTTCCTTTTGTTCTATTTTGTTGGGCATATTGCTCTTGTTTTTTTGTTTTTTTTATTTGCTTTATGTAGTTTCTGAAGTACATCGCACCACCAATGCCGCGTGGGCCACCCTTCTGCTGCGGTCTGCATTTATTGTCTCCCCCCCACTGCGCTCTAGCCCAAACCCCATTTCGATGGTTTCCTGATTTTCGGGCCAACTTTAACTGCTGCTGCAAAATAAATTGCAATAAAATAAAATATGTTTCTGCGTTAATAACATTTACTACCCCTGAATGGGGGGGTACCGCTCTGTTGGGTTGAATTGTCTTCTATTTCCGTTTTCGTATTTATTTCCATCAAATATTATGTCACGCCTAATGAATGTGCAGCTATGAACAATATGTTCTAGCCAACGCAAATCGATTAGATTTGCAGCTCTTGATAGCAGCCCATGGATGATAAATGAGTGGTAGAGAAAATCCCATGGGTGGGAGCATTAATTTGCCAAGAAAAAGCTGCTAAAGTATAGAATAGTGGAGCGCTATATAATTCTACAATCGGTATAGAATAAACAAATAAACATAAAGATTGTTTTCTATAATTTGCATAACAAGCTCGCCCGTTAAATGATTTTTACATTTTACATTACTTTGATTTCAATTTCTTCGTTTAAACTTTAAAGTTGTGCTGTGAATATTTACACTTATTTTTGGATACTTTTCTGCTTTTGTTTTAGTCGCTGATGTTTGCCCCAGCCCCCCCATCTGTGATGTGGCGTAGTGTTAGTTTGTCAGGTGCTCGCCTCGTTAATGTGGCAAAACTAGTTTAAGACCATATTTTCTGCTTAATTGCAATATTTTTCCAAAGTGTTTCAGCTTTCAGTCCCAGAGCAACGGAATGGAATGGGGCACGGGCACACAGCCAGCGACAGAGAGAGAGAGAGAGAGAGCGAGAGCGAGACCTAAGCTTGAGTCCGAGTCTGCGGCAGAGTGTGAATTTGTTCACCTTTTTTCTATTTATTCCGCTCGTTGGCTTACAGTGAATTTTGCATTCCAAGAATTTGCTTTTTGGTTGGGGCTCTTTCTCTCTACCTTTATTTGTAATCCCGCTGGCCCTCTATTTTGGCCACCAGTGTAACAATCCCATGCTGATCGCCACAAATCAGGCGCGAGTACGTGCCGGGCATCGGTAATCGAAAAGAATCGACCACAGACGAACGGGCGGGCACGTCCCGATGGTTGGAGGATGGTCAGTGGCATTTTATCGTCTTCTTCTTGGCCTTTTCGCTGGCTTTTATGAAAATTTCCCTTTATGAGCTCTGTGTGCTCATCATTATGCATTCCGAACAAGACAACAAGAGAACGAGAGATCGAGAGAGCTGCAGAGCTGCAGAGGATCGTTCGGGGCCAACTAATAAGCGTTTTAGCACAGAAGCCACGTACGCGACTTCATAGAGTTATTAGTGCCCTATAAGGTGGCATGGGTTGGTGAGGGGGTTGGGGGGACGTTTGTGGTCACTATATATCATAAAAGTGCATATAACGAAAAAAAGAAAAACATACATATAACAGGCAAACAATAAAGTTTCCCATGGGTATTGTGGCCATTCGAGTAGAACCGAAGGTGGAGCCAGCCAGCAGAAATGCAGCTTAAATTGGTCAGGCCAAGAGAAAGAAGTGCTAATTGCAGGCGGAAGGAAGAGGGAGGAATTCATTAGCGAAAAATCTGAAATCTATATCTGTGATATTTCCCAAGGCAGAACTTTTGCCAAATGCCAAATGCTGCCGAGTATTTATTGCAGTTTCCACAACGGAAAAGGGAGGAATTTATTAACATTTTTCGCCGCGGCTAGAGGAGCAGCTACTAGTGTCTTCGCCATTTAAATTTAGCATAGGCAATGGACAAGTCTTTTCGCAAGAGAAGCTGAAATCTATAGCCCGGTAGTTGGATCGTCTGCCTGTCTGGTGGTTAGCTTTGTAATTGAAACTATGATGAATGGCCAGCGAGTGTTAATGAGCACTTTGGGTGCCTTGCAATAGTCGTACAGGGATATTTCACTCCTCTGCTCTCCACCTGGACCCCGCTCCACTCCGTTCCACTGTAATTAATCAAAGCGAGGCCTTGGCAGCAGCATCGCCATCAACAGGTAGTAAAATGCCAAGACGTGCCCCATCAATACCACTCGCCTGTATTCCCGTCTGTATCTGTATCTGCAGCTGTGTCTGTTTTGCGTTTTGTGAGCTGCTGCTGTCTTTGTATCTGTATCTTTGTCTGTCAAAAGAAGCGGGCGTCGGGTGTCGTGTGTGACAGAACGAGTGAAGTGGCGTGGAGTCGATTGGAGTGGAGTGGAGTCCGAGGAATGGAAAAAAAAACTCAAACTGGGGGCCGCAGCTCAGGCGATTCTGCACTCAAGAATCCACAGCGAGGTACCTACTGGTATCCAACAGATACACACCTCGCTTTGAGCCGCTTGGCAAATACTGGTTTTTGTTTTTTCTCTACTTCAAGCCAAGTTTGCCACAGCGCAACACAACACAAAGATTTGCTTTCATTTGTCCGTTAAAGATTTGACGCTGTGTGTGTGAGAGATACTTCTCTCTCTCTCTCAGGGAGAGAGAGCCAAGAACTGCAGGTATCTGAGTATCTGCTGCGTGTGTGTGTGTTCGTGTACCTGAGAGAGTGTACACTGTACAGGTAGCTCTCGGTCTTGGCTTGGCTTGTTCTGCTGCCTCTACGACTGCTTCAACTGCCGCTTCTTCCCCGATTCTTTTATTTTCTTCTCGTCTTTTATGTTAATCCATTGGCCAAACATCCCATCCCGGACCCATGCTCGCACACACCTGAGAGGAGTGTTCGACGGTGGCGGTGGCAGCTGCTGCAGCTGCGCGCACAGGTAGCCGCCGCCAGAAGAGGTTATTTGATTACTCAACCATTTTTCTTCAATTTATTCTCGCTCTCTGTCTCTCCCTTAGGCTTCCTCTGAGCCTCGACCTGAGACGACTCTGAGCCCCTCCGCTATGCCACATGTTGCCGGTGAAACCTCACGTCGGCATGTCCGGCCCAAAATTTCTTGCAGTTTTTTTTTCTTTTGGTTTTTTTTTTTAACCGAAACTCAAAAATTGAAAAGACATCTGTCGTTCGTCGGCAATTCAGCTCAGTTGATTTTTTCTGTGTGGCATTTCCGCAAAGGGAATTTTTTGTTACCAAGAAATTTGTGGGTTTTCTCTGGTTCGGCACTCGAAATTTCACATTTCGTTGTACTTGAGAGTGCATTGAATTGATTTGAAATTTGAATATTTGATGGACCCTTGACAAGCCATTTGGATCTCTTTCAAAAAAGTTGAAGTGGGGCTCCGATGCTTCAAGTTTCTGATGGGTTTCTGGTGGGGTTTTTAAATGGTTTAAAATATTGTACTGGGAGTCTATTAAAAGTAACTTGAAGAATATGATTTCTGACACCGAATCGGAGATTTATTTCAGTTTTTAAGTGTATCAACTCTCATGTGTATTCACCTCAAGGTAAAGATCTTCAGCCCTCCCAAAGAAGGCTCGTTCGACAGCTGCAATGACAGTCCAGTCCCTGTCCCTTAGGCAGCTGCACACACAAATTCACAATATCTAAGCCTGGTACAGAGTGGCAATCGCTGGCCCCCTGCTCTTCACATATCGGTCATGCAAATCTAATTGAAACAGCAAACGGATATCATAGATTCGAGTTGAGATGCAGCTGCAGCACCTGCTCCCACAGATGCACAGACACACACACAAGGGAATTTTTTCCATTTTCCACTTAGTTATTTTATTTACCCGTGAATTGCTCCAATTTTGTTCATTGACTTGTGCCGCAATCGATTTGTTGTAACCGAACGACGGACGGGCCACGACGAATCCAAAAGGCAGGCGCGTAACCTACTTTCAGCTGATAAGATAATGACGCTTTTCCTCCAACAACGAGGCCCGGCATTTACAGTAGCTGTGCTGTGCTGTGCCCCTCTCTCAGTCCATGGCTTACCAATTAACCAGCAGAATAGTATATAAGCGTACTCTATATACTACATATGTATATGGTGTGTGTTGTGTCTGTTGTGGAGAAAAGACTCTGTGTTCCAATAGTTCTACGTGGGGAGTGCCGTAGAACGAACCCCTTAAACCAGCTGCTGTTTCGATTTGTAGCGTATTTAATCCACCATTTTCCCATAGGTACTCCGAATTGCTTCCGCGTTCGCGCTTATCTCTCACCCGCAAATAACTGATTAACAGACGAGGGGATTATGTTTTGGATTTTATTATGTTTTTATTTTTAACACAATTATTGTGTGTGTGTTTGTGTGGCTTTCTCGTTGGTTTGTAAATGATACATTTGTTTAATAGTATGTACTAAGCTTGTATATAAATAAATTGTTTTTTTTTTATTTTTATATTTTGTATTTCAGTTTTTAATATTGATTCGCCTTGGCATGTAAAAAATAGAGGTTTACGACTCCTCCTCTCATGTGGATACGCGAAAAAAGACTTACAAAAATACATATCGCATTGATTTATTAAACATTTTCTTATGTAGATTTAACATATATATGTATATATATATATGTATATTTCGATTCCTATATAGCATGGATGAAGGCTGCACAATTGGTACTGTACTCCGTTCTCTTTGCTCTCTTTGCCTTAACTAAAAAACCTCTCGATTCGATATAGATTTATGTTTAAGCTCTAAACTGATTTATACACGTAGTACTAGAGACAACCCTAAGAACTTATGCTGATATTGATGGGGTCGCGGGTCTAAGGTTCTATATAAATGATGATATATATATATTTAAAGGTTAGGATAATGTTTAGCTTAGTTTATCGACTTGTCTTATCAAATTGAGTTATCGTTTGATTTTTGTTTTCTTTTTATTCGGAAGTTTCAACGAATCCTTATTGAAGTGTTTGTCTTGAAATTAGTTTTGTTATGCTATAAGAAAAACTATCAAAATAAACTACGGACTAATGTCGGGAATATGCAATGTAAAATGCAATTTGTTACTGATCTCTCATCTGTAGGAATATTTTGTTTTCTCTCTTGTAATTCTTCTGAATTGTTTGTGTATTTTTTGTTTGTTTGTTTGTTTGTAAATGAAAACACTTCTGCATTTATTTGTGTTTGTTCGCAGTTGCTTAATTAATTATATATACTAATATAGTTACGCTTACGTAAGATCAAGATCACTTTTTGCATTTACAAAACAGAAAACAAAAACGTGTCCTCAAGGGGTGTCCCCACCCCCCACCCCCCACACTTCCCTTTCCGCTCTTCTATATAAAGAATGGATTTACTTCTACACATACATACATATGTATACATATGTATCTCTTGAGGCTTACTTTGGGGCCGGCTAGGCCGGCGCCTTGTCCCCCCTGCACACCATCCTTCCACCTAGTCCTCCTCCTTCCATGTATCCATACAACTCTTAGCATATAAAAAGTCTTTTGAATTTCTACGTCATCTTTTCCTTTTTCCTTTTTCGTTTTGATTTTCGTTTGTTTTTCTAGATGCGCCAACCCTGCTCGTCGTCCACATTGGAGTCGGTATCGGAGGGCTCCTCGCCGTACATGTCGGCCAGCTTGCGGAAGCGCGGTCCAAAGTTGGACAGATAATCGAAATTGAGATCGCCGTCGTCGGTGCAGGAGGCCAGGCTGGACAGGCTGCCGTCAGAGTTGCCGTCGCCCTCGTAGGCGTAGTGCCGCACATCGTCGACGGTGAGGCCGCCCGAGTCGCGGTCGCAGTTCTCCTTCTTGTCGCCCAGGAAGTCCCCGATGTCGGGTATTTCGTTGGGATCCCGACCCATGCCCGACTGCAGGGCGTGGGGATCCTTGTACAGCTTCTCCTCGTAGAAGGGCTGCGTGCGCAGGACGTTCAGGTCATAGTCCGTGTCCCGCTCGCCGCCGCCCTCGTCCTCGTAGTTGATGATCGTTTCCCGTATGTCGTCGATGTCCTTCTCGTGCCAGCCGTTCTTCTGCTTCTTCTGCACCACCACGGCCAGAAGGATGATCAGCAGCAGCGCCAGGCAGACGATGATCGCAATAATGAAGTTCCGATCGATGCCAAAGCTGAAGGCCACCGCCACCGACTGCTGGCATCCGCTGTCGATGTTCCGGAAGACCGAGGGCATACCCAGGTTGTAGGTGTGCTCGTTGATCGTCAGGTTGCGCACGCACCCAAAGAATCCCTGCTGGGTGGGCACATGCGTCCAGTTGAGCTGCCGTCCGAGCTGCGCCAGATCCACAGGACTGCCGCCCAGCTGCAGCGGCGCGTTCACGTTTAGGAACTCATTGGGGCCCTGCGGGGCGCCCAGGCTCATGCAGGTGGACAGACGGCAGTTGTCTACGGTCATCTCGATGCTGGTGCGCTGCAGGATGATGTCCAGCTGGTAGGAGCGATCGGCCACCATCCGTATGTGCTGGTGCTTGATTCGGATGCCGCCCGAGCCGTAGTCCACCGTCAGCACGGGATAGCCCTTCTCCAGCTCGAGGGCCAGGAAGTCGGACAGCGGCAGCAGGGGATTGTAGTTGAGCGGCCCCAGATACATGATCAGACCCTGGTCGATCTGAGGGGTGATCTCCAGGCTGATCTTCGTGTTGTCGCAGGCGGAAACGGGCTCGTAGAAGGCGTAGCCGCTGCCGTAAAAGGCCACCGAGACGAGCTCGCAGTGGGGGCCGGTGAAGCCGTCGATGCAGTCGCATACATCGTTCTCCCCGTAGCGCGGCGTCCCCCCATTCAGGCAGTGGTTCATCAGCAGCGCCTCGCACACACACTGCGCCTGCACAAAGGCGTTGACGCCCACGAAGGAGGTGGTGTTCGAGTAGATCATGTAGGGCACCGAGCTCTTGTGCAGCTCATTCGTGCAGGAGCTCTCGCACTTGAGTCGCTCGATCAGGCACTCGTCGATGTTCACCATCAGCATCTGGAGATCGAGCTCGTTCTCGAGCCGTTGCTGGTTCTGGGCCACCATTCCGTTGAGCTTCTCCGGCGAGTAGTAGGGCGATCCGTGGGCAGAGTAGCGTACGTCCAGCGTGTTATTCTCGTTCTGGAGCACCGTGAAGACGTCCACATTGGACACCGAGGTGTTGAACAGCTTCGACAGCGAGTGCTGCAGGCGGTCCTTCAGGGAGAGGGCCTCCGGGGACTGCATGTCGCGCGGCACATAGATGAACTCCTCCTTGGTGATGTTGATGAAGCGAATGCTGCCGCTCTTGTCCACCGCCTCCTCGGGCAGCTCGCGTATGACCACCGTGACATCGGCATCCACCGAATGGTAGGGTATGTAGGTGGACTCCTCATCGACCGTGAACTCCAGCACGTACTCCCCCTCGCCGGTGTGCTGGAGCATGGTGATCATGCCCGTGCTGGGATTCAGGCGGAACTGATCGTGCGAGATGTCGTTCTTCCACTTGAAGCTCTTGTCCTCCAGATCCCAGTCGTCCAGATCGTCGACAAACACCCGCCCAATGTCCGTGTCGGGCGCCTCGCCCTTGTAGTTGTAGATGAAGATGCGGGAGGAGCCCTCCGTCATGGCATTGTCATTCACATCGCCGATGATCAGGTGCAGTATGCTGACGGCACTCTGCCGCGGCACACCCGAGTCGCTGATGCGGATCGGGATGTAGTACTCCTTCTGCTCCTCCCGGTCGAACATCACATTCGCGAAGAGGTAGTCATTGTCGATGCTGAACTTGGTCTTGATGTCGGCGGAGGCTTCGCTGTCGATGCCGTAGGTGTAGGGCGGACCATTCTGGACGTCGTCAAAGTCGTTCGACTGCAGCTGGACAACCTGGCCGGGATTGCGGTTCTCGGGCCACTTTACGGGCATTTCGTTGACCAGGAAGGGGGCATTGTCATTGATGTCCTGCAGCGTGATGGTGACGGCCTTCACCGACTTTAGGGTGGTGCCCACCCCATCCTCGTCGCTGGCGGAGATCAGAATCTGCCAGTTCTTGTGGCCGTTGGGCGGATCGCGGTCCAGCGGTTGGATGAGCCGCAGGCAGCCGCTGTTGTCGATGGTCAGCAGCTTCTTGTAGTCGTCCTTCACAATCGAGTAGACAATGTGCTGGTCGGCCGTGCGATCCTTGATGTCCGGATCGTACGCTTCGATTGTCAGGATGCAGTTGTCGAAGGCTCGCTCCTCCTGGATGGTGATGCTGTAGTCCTGCTTGAACACCGGCGGATTGTCGTTCACATCCTCGATTTTGATCACCACCGTGGCGTAGTCGTCGTAGATCCCATCAAAGGCTCGCACCTTCAGCTCATACTCGGTGATCGATTCGTAGTCCAGGCGCTGGTTCACCGTGATCTTGCCCGTCTTCAGGCCAATCTTGAAGGCATCGCCCACGTTGCCGCTCTCGATGCTGTAGAGGATCTGCGAGGCGTTGTCCTCATCCTCGGCCATCACCTCGATCACCTCGTAGTTGGTGTTGGCATCCTCGAGCAGCTTGTCCGCCAGATACTTGGTCTGCTGGAAGTGCGGCTTGTGGTCGTTCTTGTCGCCAATGGAAATGCGGAACACCTGATGGCCCCGGTTGGGCTCTCCGTTGTCGAACAGGCTCGACGGGGAGTTGTCGCTGGCGATCACCTTCACGTTGTAGAAGTCCCGCTCCTCGCGATCGAATGTCGTCAGGGCCGTGATGTTGCCCGTGTGCCGATCGATGGCAAAGAACTCCCGGTTGTCCGCCAGCTCAAAGGACACAATATTGTTGGCCGCTGTCCCGTCCATGTCGAAGGCGCGCACCTGCATCACGGGCGTGCCCGGCGGCTCGTTCTCCAGGATGGTGCCAGACTTCACCTCCGTGAAGTAGGGAATGTTGTCGTTGACGTCCTCGACCTTAATCTTGATCTGGTGCTCGGCCCCAAGCTCGAACGTGTTGCGCACACTCATCGTGAGGGTGTAGTCCGTGATGGCCTCGTAGTCCAGGTGCTTGCCCAGGCTGATGGTCACCTCGTTGCCAATCTGATTGAAGACGAACGTGTTCTTGCCGTTCGTCTGCTCCGTGCGGCCGGTGATCAGCTCAAAGATCACCTCCGGCTTGTCCGGCATGTTGGACACTGCCGTCAGCGTCGCAATGGGCTGCGAGAAGTTCTTGAGATCCTCTTTCAGATAGATGGGCATATCGATGGGGTCCACAAAGGTGGGCGGCTTGATCGAGGACTCCACAATGCGTATCCGCACCTCGATCTGTGCGTCCTGCGGCGGATCCGGCACTATGTTGTATGCCCGCACATTGATCGTGTACGACTGTCCGGGTCGCTTGTCAATCGGTCGATTCAGATAGATGATACCCGACTCCTTGTCGATCTTAAAGTACTGGAAGTCCCGCTCCCGCAGTATCTCGTACTCGATGATGCTGTTGTTGCGGTCATCAAAGTCGCTGGCACTGATCGACATGATCACCGTATCGGGCTGCAAGTAAAAGACGTGGGGAATAAGGCCTCAAACAATATCAAAAGACGTTTCAGGAGAGGGTCACACAAGGGGCTCTTCGGTGGATGACCGAACTCTGCACCCAACTTTCCTGCAAGTTTGCCCAAATCAGGAATAAGCACATCTTTCCTTTTTTCTTTGCAAAATCTACTGCTTCCTGCCTGAACAAAAGTGCAACCCAAACTGAAACCTTTACAGGGAAAATCGACGGCTTTCAGAGAGCTTTTCTAAAAATACTACACAGAAACGAAAGGGGAAAGGAAAAGGCGAAAATGGGGATTCTCCCCCCTACGATTTCTATGGCATCACTGCCGGGCGGAAATAGTATTTTCCATTCCATGAGCTTGAGATAATTTCCAGGAATATCATATTTGTGGTTCCCATTAATTCTCCTTGGGGAGCAGCTGTGTATAAGATTTATTGGTTCGGAATGGAAACACAAACTATTCACACTATTCACACTATTCACACTTCTTTTATTTGTTTCATCTCAATACTTTACTGACAAACTGTACATATTTTGCATTGGGACACTATTTTGTTATTCTCGTTTCCACTAAGCTCTTCCATTGCCTGGCGACAAGTTTTTCCGTCGCACAAAAACTAGTGGGGGGAAAAGCAGAAAGAAAAGGCGAAAGGCGGCTGGGCTGGCTTGGAAAGGGTTTCATTTCAAGGTTCTCTGCATCGAGCCGGGCCGAGCAATGAACTCAAACCCGTCTGAGACGACCCTCCTACGCTGCTTGTGGCCTGGAAAACTTGTTCCGCCCAAGAAGATGTGTTCGCCAGAGGAGCCCACAGAGCTGTTAATTATCGCTGGAAGTCGTGAGTGTTTGTGAGTGTGTGTGTGTATGTGGTGGGGAGGCGGGCAGGTGGGCGACGGATAGGCGACAATGGCAATGACCCATAAATTGCCACTAAGCCAATTAAATTGTTGCTCAAATATCATGACATCATTGAGGGGTGGGGGCAGGGGGCGGTGCGTGGGCATGACGTCACTCGTGGACCGTCGCACAGAGAGAGAGAGAGAGAGAGAGAGGAAGAGACCAAGCGGCAGTAATCCAGGGTCCGCGTACTTGGCCCTCCGTTGTGCTCCAAACTTACCTGTGCATTTTCCGACATGGACTCGTCGTATCGCGCCTTGTTGAACACCGGCGGATTGTCGTTGATGTCCTCGATGGTCACGTTGAAGGTGCAGACATCGTCGAGCGGCGGCAGGCCGTTATCCGTGGCTTGGACGGTGACAAACACAAACTTCTCGTGGATGGGCTCATCCCGATCGAAGGTGTGGCCGGTGACAATGACGCCCGTGGTGGGGTTTATAAAGAACTTGGGTCGTTCCGAGCGCGACTGGACGAGGCTGTATCGTATCTCCTGGTTGGGATCGGGATCCGTCGCCTGCACCATGAAGACGTAGGTGTTCTCGGGCTGCTCCTCCTTCACGGAGGGCGCATAGCCAGCGCAGTTCTTGAAGGCGGGCTTGCGATTGTCGCCGGTGTAGTTGTTGTTATCCGGCAGCGTCTGGGCTGAGAGGGCGGGTGAGATGATGCTGATTACCACGGCTACGGCCAGGAGCAGCCTGCTCCTGTGGCTGTGGGTGTGGGTGTGCCTCTGATCCCGACATTTTCGTTTGTGCTGCTGATGTGTCTGCTGCTGGGCTGGATTCGAATTCGAATTCGGATTTTGATTGAGGCGATTGCTGACCGACATTTTATTGCAGTTGGTGGCTGAACACTTGTGGAATTTCATTTAGCAGACATCCGCCATCTCACAACTTTTTGAGCACTTCTTTTGTGAATCACCCCAGTATTTATCCACACTGGCACACACACGGTACGGTACACACACACTCGATCACTACCACTACTTCACCGCACACCTTTTACTTTTACGTTCTCTCTGCTCTGCTCTGCTCTGTTTGTATTTCTATTTCCACTTTTGTTTGCTTTTATCTCTCAAATGCACTGTGAGCATGTGTGTGTGTGTGTTTGTGTAGAGTGAGTGAGTGCGAACTAACGCTGACGTCGACGCTCCACCGTTTGTTTAGACTGCATTTTCATGGCAACCAACAGCAACGCAGCCGTCTAAATATCAATATCGAACAAATTGAACAAAATTCAACGGAACTCGTACAGTGCGCGCTTTTATTATTTTTTCCAAGTATTTTCCGATTTAGCTGTTGCTTTTTCTGTTATTTTCTTCACTTTTATCTTTTACACACTCTCTTTGGCGCTCCCTTCTTAGGCCGCCGCGCTCTCACACACCGCAAAACAGGTAAGACCAGGTAGAAAAAAAGTGGTTACCACACACACTTGTAGGCAAGCGCGCGCGCGGTTATGTGTGTGTGTGTGTCGGGGTTTCAGTCTTTTTTCATTGGTATTTGTTACCAACTCAAGGCACTGTTCGCGTATGTTTTCGTTATTTGTTGTACACTTTCACCGAATTTACTAGTAAATTTATAGTAAAATGTAGTTTTTGTTCGTTTCATTCCCGAATCTAGCCGAAAAAAAGTTCGTACGATACGATCCAGCTTTTATTTATTTTACGATCGACGCTGCGCAGCAACCGCGCAGTTCAAAAGTTGAAGAGAAAATGTATCGATATCGACAGGAGCGTGTTAGAGCTGACAGCAGTCCGATATTACGGTCGATGACATTGATACCATCGATATTTCAATCGAGTAAGTTTGTGCGATAAATTAAATTTTTTAATTAAACTAACAAGTAAATGCTACAACATTAATTGGTTTTACTGTTTCGGATGAAACCAGTGCTCTTTTAGATATATTATATATAAATATTATATATATATATATTTTCACTCAAACGATATATCGATGGTCGAAAAACGAATCTATTCCAAGCCATCGATATTGTCGATAGTGTCGTCGGTGTTTCTCCACCCCTGCTGAATCGTCATCGTTGTCCTATTTTGAGAAAAAAGATCTCACAGTATTTTTGTATATTAGTATCATAGAAAACCATTAAAAGAAAACACTTGTATTACCAGTAAAAGCAGCCCAGCAGCGCCGACCACTGAAACAATATCCCGAGCAAGCACGAGGAGCGGAGAAAAGAACACACAAAACCAAACAACTGCCCCTGCCCCGATTTCGTGAATCACCAACGGAATTATGGAACAAACACAGATTACAGATGCAGAAAAGGTGCGCATTGTGTCCGACTTCATTCTGCACGCTCCGCCCGGCGAGTTCAACGAGGTGTTCAACGATGTACGCGAGCTCCTCAAGAACGACGCCCTGCTGAAGGACGGTGCCAGCCACGCCTTCTCACAGTACAACAAGGACCAGCTGACACCGGTGCGCATCGAGAACAGCAACCACAGCGCCATCATTTCGGAGTTCAACGATTTGGGTTAGTATCAAGAATCGCATCCGTGAATCCATGAATCTGCCCATATATGGGCATACTCGTGCAGCAGCGATCCCATCCCCCTCGCCTGCAGTGATGACATTTAATTGTGAGTCACGAACCACAAAAATTTCAACTTTATTGATATCGTTTGGTGTTCGTTTTTGTTGATGTATAAATACCAAAGGCCATAGACTTTCCTTTCCTTACTGATAAGGCAATGCAAATAATCTTTCAGGCAACGGTCGCTTCTATGATCCACGCACAAACAAGGCCTTCAAGTACGACCACCTACGGAAAGAGGCCTCCGACTACCAGGATGTGGATGCGGATGCCAATGCGGAGACCTGGAGGGCGGCCCTGGATCTGGAGACGCTTGCATACACTGCCAATCACTATAGGCACGGGGTACGCTGGCGAATTCCACTGTTAAATCACACAATAACTTTTAAATTTTTGGCTTGCAGGTCAGCTCCGTGTTTGGAAAGTCGCAGGGCAACCAGATTACGCTCACCATTTGCATTGAGGACCACCAGTTCCAGCCGAAGAACTACTGGAACGGCAGATGGCGGTCGCAGTGGCACGTCACCTTCCAGGCGGGCAGTGGCTTGGCCGAGCTGAAGGGCGTGTTGAAGGTGCAGGTGCACTACTACGAGGACGGCAACGTTCAGCTGGTGTCCTCGAAGGAGTGCCGCGAGAGTGTTGTGATCACCAACGAACAGCAGATGGCCAAGGAAGTGATGCGCCTCATCGAAGAGGCTGAGAACGAGTACCAGTTGGCCATTTCGGAGAATTATCAAACGATGTCGGACACGACTTTCAAGGCAATGCGCCGCCAGCTGCCCATAACCAGGACCAAGATCGACTGGAGCAAAATCGTCTCGTACAGCATTGGCAAGGAGCTGAAAACGCAATAAGACCAGGAGCTGCAAGCGGAAGCGGAACCAGAGGGGACAGCACAGCAGTCGACAAAGCGGCCCAACAGTCTTCCACTTGCAATGGCCAAGCGAGATATGTAACTGAAAAATAGCAGCATTAAAATTATAACATCCCGAGCAACGAGCAGGAACGCGACACACGCAGAAGATGAAACAGGATCACGAATACAAGTTAAAACTAAATGTCTGTAATTTGCCTATACACATACACACATACAACATATACATACATGCGTACATATATATATACAACGTGTATTTACAATGTGTTATATACTATAACTAACGATGAATGCACTGCACTGCACATGCATAGCTGCATATAAATTTAATTACGATCAGAGATGATTCAATTAAATGAGTTTGGACAATGAATGATGCGCTGTTGCCTCGTTTGGGTTACACTCGCCACCAATTGTCGCCTTTATCGTTTAAGAATGAGCATTAAACGCGGTTTTTATCATGTACGAGTACTCTGACTTATGTATTGTATTATTCTAATTTTAAACAATCATCAACAAACACAAGATCAGTGCACTATATGTATGAGCAGCGTAGCTCGTGTGTGGGCCCATCCCGTCCCGTCCAATTGTAAGAATGCTTAATTTGGACAAAACACTTGGAACTGCGCCTCCGATTGAATGTATTTCAACTATTATTAGAGCCTGTCTCATGCATAGTAGTCCACTTAGTACTACCCACATTCATCCCGTCAAGTTTTCTCAACTCAAACGCTTCCCCCATTACCCGAACATTATTAGCATAGGCAGCTAAGTAAATGACATTTTAGCCAGCTTTTCATCAACAAAAGACTTTGATTTTTTAACAAACAACAACAATAATAAATGTGTAATTAAAATACCTTAAATATGAAACATTTAAGATTGCTTGAATTAGTCAAATTTAATAAGAATAAACTAACTAAATCGGAAATTGTTACTACATTTCTATAACCCAATTAATGGCTCTTTAAGTTTCCTGCCTCCTGCTGCTCCTCTGGTTGTTGTGGGTGTTCGTTTAGCGACTGTTCATAGATCCTCTTAGTCGCGTTCTCCTGCTGCGTGGATTCTGATTGGTGAGGCGGGTAGGGCAATGTGGCATTCGCCCACTGCTGTGCGTTATGAGACTCGGGCACAACATAGTCCGGGACATCCTCGGGTTTCTTGAGCAGGAAACGCTTGTCTGGATTACGCTTCGTTTCCAGCTCTAGTCGGTCAATCAGCCAGCCTTTGTCTGGCAGATGGGACGCCCAGAAGTACAAGGTTCCTGCAGAGCAGTGCTTTAAGTCTCCATAAAGATAGTTTGCTGTGCCCTCGGCTTACCTTTGTCCTTGCTGCCATGCACTGAGACCTCCAATTGCGCCTTCTCCGCATTGCAGTTGTTATTTGCGTTGGAAAGATCAATGCCCGACTCTCTGATGGGTTCACCCAGCAGCTTCACAGCTCCCTTGTGGTGTCTCAGAGCACTGATGGCCAGTTTGTAGTAATCACAGGATTTCACCCGGTCCTCCATCTTCCAGCGCATGTACATGACCGCAGATATGGATGCAACGGCGCCGTAAACGCATATGTTTCCCAGTGTCCGGTTGGAGGGCATTCGAAATCCCGGCATTTTTGTATTATACTATTTCTTTGCACTTGTGTAATTTATTATAACCGGCGCCGACATAGAGGTGGATGCGGGTTCATCCGATAGTATTTATGTTTCATTGATTGTGTGATATCTGCTCTAATAGTTACCGGATGACAAAAAATGTACTGTTACTTTCCTCTGTATTTCCCCATTTTGCATATTTTATTAATATTTCGATTCAGATGGAAGTAAAATGAAAATTGAAATTGGAATTCAAATTTGATTCTCGATATTTCTCGTGAGAGTTTGTCAATAGGCCATCGCTACACCGTAGTGTGACCACACTTGCGCATGTCAGGGCTGAATTGTTGCTGCACCAGATTATACAACAAAACAGAATTTTCAAGCAGTTAAATGGTTATTTGTCAATTAAATTGAAGCGAAAACAAAAATTAAGAATTATGAGTAGCTTTACTGCGGCATTGGCTATGCTGAGGCAGCGTTTGATTGCTCCAGCACTGGCAACATCAACCCGTTGTTATGCCGTGAAGCCGGCAGCCCCAGGTAAGTTAGCCTCAATCTAAATCAGATAAACTTTACTTTACCTTTATCCCATGATTTACAGCGGCCAAGAAGAAGAAACTGGGAAAGCTTGGACCCATTATGGAAAAGACGGTAATTCCCGTGGAAACAGACGCCAACAAACTGGTGAACTATGTGTGCGGCAGCAACTACCTAAAGACTGGCCAGGACGTCAAGGTGAGAGTGCCCAGAAGAGTGTATGAGCGACCTCCTAAACTCATCGTTTTGTTACCAATTCAGATTAAACCGGATGCAGAGTACCCCGACTGGCTGTGGACACTCAACACGGAACGGATTATACCCCTGGACGAGCTCGATCCCAATTCGAAGCAATACTGGAGACGCTTGCGAAAGCTAGCCTTGCGGCGCAACAATCAGCTCTCCAAGCTGAAGAAGTTCTAGGGGCCAGGCCAGGCCAGGCGCTGGCATTTAGGTGTTATCTTTGTTTCGGAGACCAGGTCTTGGCCTTCAACTTTCCTAAGTGTGCAATCGTGTTGGACCTGTGTTTGCCTTGCTGTCCGGCGCAAGTATATAAACACTTCGTCGATTATGTTCTTTGCTAATGTAAATAACGTAAATACATTTTACAACGTCTTGCACTCCTTATCAATAATCTCCGTTCGTATAAAAGTCGCGATCTCGACGGAAAGTTCGATCAATGCTGAAGAAGTTTTCCCAAAGCGCAATGTGGATGCGATCATCGCAAGTTCTAGTGCTGTTGCTCGGGGCAGTCCTTATGGCTGCTTCGTCGGTCGCTCAAGGCAATGCCTCAAGTAAGTACTCACCCACACAGCTAACATCCCGATGCCAAAAGATGCCTAATCCCAATGATTCGCAGAGCATGTTGTGTGCTATCAGGGGACCTGGTCAGTGTACCGACCCGGCACGGGTAAGTTCGGTGTGGACGATATCGATCCGTTTCTGTGCACCCACTTGATCTACGCCTTCCTGGGCATCGAGGAGAGCGGACAGCTGCGCGTCATCGACTCCTATCTCGACTTGGAGGACAACAGCGGACGTGGCAATATCAAGAGCTTCAACGCCCTCAAGCTCAAGAATCCCACGCTGAAAACGCTGGCGGCCATTGGCGGCTGGAACGAGGGTTCGAAGAAGTTCTCCATCGTGGCCGCAGATGCCGAGAAGCGGTCGCGTTTTGTGGATGATGTGGTCCGCTTTCTGCAGCGTCACGGCTTCGACGGACTGGACCTGGACTGGGAGTATCCGGGTCAGCGTCACAGTCTGGATAACGAGGATCGCACCAACTATATTACCCTGCTGAAGGAACTTAAAGAGGGGTAATGTATATGGGATGCCTGAACACAGTTCGCTGACTGTTCTGCTGTCTGACACGCGCATTCCACGTTTCCCAGGCTCGAACCCTTCAGCTTTATGCTCAGTGCTGCCGTCGGATCCGCTCAGTTCTCGGCCGAAATATCGTATCAAATCCCAGCCATAGTCCCCTATTTGGACCTGATCAATGTGATGGCCTACGATCTTCACGGGCCCTGGGATGAGGTGGTGGGCATCAATGCCCCCCTGTATCCCTCGGCCAACGATACAAGCGAACGCCAGAAGCAGCTTAATGTGGATGCCATCTTCAAGTACTGGCTGAATGCGGGTGCTCCACCGGAGAAACTGGTTCTCGGTGTCCCCTTTTATGGGCGCACCTTCACCCTATCCTCAGCCGAGAGCCATGAGCCGGGCTCTCCGCACATTGGACGCGGCGTTGGTGGAAAATATTCGCGCGAGCCAGGCGTTCTAGGCTACAACGAGCTCTGCGAGCAGATGCAGCAGGAGGAGTGGACCGAGAAGTGGGAGGCGGACCAGCAGGTGCCCTATGCCTACAGGCAGCGTCAGTGGGTGGGCTATGAGAACCCACGCAGCCTCTCGCTCAAGGCACAGTATGCGGTGGATCACCAGCTGGGCGGCATTATGGTTTGGTCCCTGGAGTCCGACGACTTCCATGGCACCTGCGGCCAGGAACGCTACCCCTTGCTACGCGCAATCAATCGAGTGCTCTTCGGCAGCGACACGCCCACAGGTCTGACCACCGAACCGAGTGTGGAGGCGGTGGAGGAGAAAGCAGGATTCAGCTGCGCGGCCGATGGCCCGACTGGATTTGTGCGCGACCCCGACAACTGCTCCAAGTTCTACTACTGCAATGGAGGGATCACCCACAGCTTCGACTGTCCCGCCGGGCTGAGCTTCGACCCCCACACTGACGGCTGTAACTACTCCGCCTCAGTAAAGTGCTAACCCCTCACCTCATAGTATCCGTTTCGATGTTTTGTATTTGGGAAACATGGAACTTGGTTGTGGTTCGGGCTAGTGGACAATCTTGAGATTCACGGGCATGTTCTCGAAGTTGTAGAGCGGCTGGCCCGGACGCCAGGTGACATAGTTCTGGTCGCACTTCACCTGCGCTTTCGGCATGCACTCGATCCTGGATTCGTCAAAGTAGTAGTCCGGCAGGCACTCGTAGTCGATGCGCTCACCATTTTGGCACTGGTAGTAGTACTGGCAATCCCAGAGCTGGCGAAAGAATCCATTCTTCGGGCAGAGACCCATGGACTCCGTTGTAGATTCCTCGGGAGCCAAAATACTGACGTCACCGAGGGCGGCGAGAATGACACGCCCCAGGCTGTGGCTCTCACCGCACTTGCCGTGATAGTCATCCGAATCGATGGTCCAGGCCATGGCGCCGCCCAGGTTGTGGGACTTCAGCAGATGCATCTTCGCCCAGATGCTGCGCGCATTCTCGTAGCTTATCCAATGGTCGCCCTTGTAGGCATACGGCACCTGTGCCTGCTCGTCAAATTTCTGCGTCCAGGAGCTGGCGTACATGCACCACTCACCGTAGGTCATGAAGCCAGGCTCGCGGGTCATGGGTGTCTTCAGACCAGGGCCCTTGCAGGGGGAACCGACCGTCGTCTGGTGGTTGTCCATGATGTACGAGCGCACGAAGAGCGGAATGTTCATGATCAGCTTCGCTGGCGCCTTGCCCAGATTCTTCCAGAGCTTGACGGACTCAATCACGTTATTTTCGCCAGAGAGCGGGGCGTTGTAGCCCAGATGCATCTGATACGGGTCCCGATTGTCGTGGTGCATCAGGTTGACATAATGCACATGCTTGACCAGTTTGGGAATGTCATACCATTCAAGGGTGCTCTTGTCCGTACGCCCCAAAACGGCCACCATCAGAATAAATTGATGCTCCTGGCAACTGCAGAAGAACGACAGCAATTAGGGAAGCTGCACCAGAGCTGTGCATTGGTCGTACTCACATTATCTTCAACTCCTCCAGCAACAGGACAAAGTTCCTCCGATCCTCAGGCTTGCCGCCGCGCTGCGTGGGATAGCGCCAGTCAATCTGGACCCCGTCGAAGCGCCACTCGTACATGAACTCGATCAGTGAGGTGAAGAACCGATCCCGCTTGCGAGAGTCTGCTGCCATCTTTGAGAAGTCGCTCGACTCCTCCAGCCATCCGCCGATCGTGAACATTACCTTCTTGACATTATCTCGCTTGAGGCGGTGTGCGACATTCAGCATGTCTGAGGACTCGAGAGGGTTAGTGCGGAGTCCCGCCCCCAATAGTATTTAGCTATTCTCACCATTTTCGACCAGCAGATACCTGTCAGTGACCTTCACTTCGCCCGTCTCCCCATCCACACCGACGGCCGTGCCGTAGACCAAATGCGTGCAGAGCCTAAGGTCGATGTTCCAGGAAAAGAACTTGCTTGAATTCTTGTAGTAATAAGATCCCAAATCGTATTGGCAGAATATCTTATCTGCAAACTGTTATTTACTCTCTGGGATTCTCTTTTCTCCCGTTCTCTCTGTGTACTTACACTCCTTTGCCGCACAGCCGCAGACCATAAAGATCATCAGCACAAACGCACAGTTAAGTGAGCGCATGACTAGCACTCTTTAAAAAGCATTAAACCTTGTAATTTACGGGATTCAAAATCCTTTGATTTGACAACAACAAAAAAAAACAAAAATAAATATAAAATTTAACCGATGTAAATTTTCTCGTTCTATTTTCTGTTAATTTTAGATCAGGCGGGTTGAAATGTTTGGAGTATTATGTGTTTCTGGATTACTGGCGATTGTTATAGTAAAGTCTAACGAATTGGCGAGAGCTTACAAATGAAAAGGCAATTGGATGTTTGTTTCGTTTGGGAAATGTTACAACGAATTTTGACACAATATCTGACAGTACAGTTCACGTCGCGTGCTGTGTTCTTGAGTTAAAGAACTACTCAAACTACTACTAGTTTAACAAGGGTTCTCAGTGAAATATAATCTAAGAGGGCGCCATTTATTATGCCCATTGAAGGTAGTAGCAGCGGTTAACAGCAGCCAAGCAGTACAGCAGACAACAGAGAAGCAGTAACAGCAGAGAAGCAGTGGACGTAAAGAGAATCCAAGCAGTCAGCCGCATTATCAGCTGTATCGTTTCATTTAACAAATAAACATTCAATTAAATAATATCTTACATATAATGATGTACATATGTATGTATGATGGAACAGACTAGATCATTGTACAGTACACGAGTGCACTATGGCCAGACCACATGGAGAAGCAAAGTAAAACGTAAATTGAAAACTCTCTCTTGGATATTATATATTAAATAAGTATTTGAGACAGTACTTGAGCTGATAAGATCTGTGTTTGGGCTACTTGACAATTTTAAGATTCAATGTTTTTTGCATCCACAATAAACGATTTTTCAAGAGAACTGCTACGACTGCGTAATTTTTTTGCCGCTAGTGCGGCTTCCAATCGTTCACATTTGACCTCTTTCATGGGCCTGCACTCGAACTTGGCCGCGTCGTAGAATTCTTTCCAGGGGCATTCGTAGTCAAATCGCTGGCCATTCGAACACCCGTAGTAGAGCTGACAATCCTCGCTATGGGGAAACAGACCATCTTCCGGGCAGGGTGGGGGCGGCGTTGTCGGCTCCACGTCCACCAGGATCCTATCCGGTTCGAGGGCTGCCAATATGGCGCGCTCGAGGCTGTGCTTCTTTCCGCACTTTCCGGTAAAGTCATCCGAATCGATGGTCCAGGCCATGGCGCCGCCCAGATTCTGCGACTTCAGCAGCATCATCTTCGCCGAGATGCTGCGGTCATTCTCGTAGCTAATCCAATGGTCGCCCTTGAAGGCATACGGCACCTGTGCCTGCTCGTCAAATTTCTTCATCCACGTGCCTGCCTGGGGACACCATTCGTTGTAGGTCATGAAGCCGGCCTTGTTGGTCAGGTTCGTCATTAGTCCTGGACCCTTGGACCGGGAACCGACGTCTGTCTGCCCCTTTTTCCTAAGGTACGAGCGCACGAAGAGCGGAATGTTCATGATCAGCTTCGCTGGCGCTTTGCCCAGCTTTTTCCAGAGCATGATGGACTCAATCACGTTATTTTTGCCAGCGAGCGGGGCGTTATATCCGAGATGCATCTGAAACGGATCCCGATTGTCGTGGAACATCAGGTTAACAAAATGCACATTCTTGACCACATTGGGAATGTCATAGCAATCCAGGGTGCTCTTGTCTGTACGCCCCAAAACAGCCACCATCAGAATAAAACCATGCGCATCGATCCTTAAGGAAGAACGAGATCGGATCGATTAGTGACGGGACAGCAGCTGTGGCAGGAGCGTATGTACCTGCTCTTTAACTCTTTTAGCAATTTAACAAAGTTCATACGATCCCCGGGCTTGCCGCCGCGCTGCGTTGGATAGCGCCAGTCGATCTGGATGCCATCCAAGCGCCACTCGTATATGAACTCGATCACCGTTTCTACGAACCGCTCGCGCTTGGCAGAGCTCGCTGCTATTTTGGAGAAGTCGCTTGGCTCCTCTGGCCATCCGCCGATCGTGCCCAGAACCTTGTCAACTTTTTCATTCCGGAACAAGGAAGTGGGAGTAAAGAGGGTTTCTTCGTTTCGGATCAAGGAAGAGAAGCTCATAAGGTCTAAGAAAGTTTGAGTTGATTAGATAAGATTCTATCAATATTGCTTTCTTACCATTTTCGAACAACAGATACTCGTCAGTGACCTTCACTTCGCCCGTCTCCCCATCCACACCGACGCCCGTGCCGTAGACCAAATGCGTGCAGAGCCTAAGGTCGATTTCCGTCCACTTGAATTTGCTCGAATTCTTGTAGTAATAAGCTCCCAAATCGTATTGGCAGAATATCTTATCTGCAAACTGTAATTTACTCTCTGCGATTTTCTTTGCCGTTCCCGTTCTCTCTGTGTACTTACACTCCTTTGCCGCACAGCCGCAGACCATAAAGATACATCAGCACAAACGCACAGTTAAGTGACCGCATGACTAACACAATTAAAAAAAAATAAAACTTGAAATTTCAAGGACTAGCAATAATACATAGTTTGAGAAAATCCAAAATATACTGACGTTGCCCCGTATCCCTGTATTCCCAATTTCAAGTCGAGTCGTAAGCAAAGAAGACTTGATTGACAGCACATAAATCAGATGGTACACTTAGTGTACATTAACATTAACATTAACAGTTGGCGAAGCAGGAGCAAAGCAGTGGGAATTGCATTTGTATTCTTGTTTGTGTGTTTTCCTGTTGCATATTGTATGTGCAGAACAAGCAGGAATCAATCTGTGCTAATGGGTTAATGAGTAAGAGCGGTACAACTATTGAATACAGCTGATCTAGCAGCCTTCTGGCTGGTTTCTCTCTCTCTCTGTTACAAGTCGTAAGCAAATATTGGTAAAAGAATAAATCATTATTTCATATTAAACTGCGTGACTCTATTAAACCATAAACGGACTGCCATAACCCACAGGTAGGCCACCATCCCCATCCACAGGTTTACTGTGTGTGCAATGCGCAACACCTGTGGATATCCATTTCAATGGAAGAGCAATGTAGGGCAAGGGATGGGGGGGGGGGACTTTATGGTTTCGAGAACAAATGCATTAGTCTCGCCCTGTTTCCCCCTATCAGTAATGCAATATTGAAATTGACTCATAGTTTGTTGAGGCTTTATCTCTGGACAACTCTACCTTTATGCCTGATGCCTGATCGCCGAGCAGTGACTAAGTGACTAAGTTTCTAAGTACTTCCTATGAGCACCAAATATTCGCTGAATGGAATCTAATCGGAATTTGTTTAGTCATAAATCTGGGTTTATCTTAGAATCGCTGTGGGGGCTCAGTTTTTTGGGCCACTTGAAGAAATCTGTGTTTATAATCGAACTAATCTCTCAGTTGGTTTTATTTGTGCATTATTTTTAGTACGGACAGTTGGCCTCTGCCGGCCAATTGCAGGTTTTGGTGGATACATCGAAATGGAGGGCGGGGGTGCACTCAAAGTCATATCGGAGTCCACCGACGCACTGGTAGTATCTGCTGCAGTCGCTGTTGTGCAGGAAATAGCCATCGGTGGAGCAATCTCCAGCTGGGGATCCACCACCGCCGCTGCCGCCGCCCTGAGTTGGACCAGGAGTGGGAGCAGGGGTCACACTACCACCACCCCCACCGCCACCGCCTCCGCCGCCGCTCACCTCCTTGCCCAGAGCACGGTTCATGGTTTTCAGAAGGGGATAGGACTCCCCACAAAGGCCGCGGAAGTCGTCCGTCTCAATGGACCACATCATGGCACCGCCCAGGTTGCGCGACTCCACCAGCTTCATCTTGATCTCGATGCTCTCGGGATTATCGAAGCCGATCCACTGGTCGCCCTGGAAGGCGTACGGTGCACCGTTCTCCTGGTCGAACACCGTCTGCCAGCTGTTCAGGCAAATCTCGTGGTATCCCATGAAGCCGTTCTCACGCGTGTACACGCCAGCGGTGCCAGGGCCAATGCATGCGGCTCCGGGCCAGTTTTGTGAGGCATCGGCCATCTGGTAGCTGTGGCCATAGAAGCCAATGCCCAAGATCAGCTTCTCGGCGGGGGCACCTGCAAAGGAGGAGCGATTGAGCTAATAGGTTCGACTGGGACATGGCTGCTGCAGTCACCTTGGGCCAGCCAGTAGTCAATGGACTCGGTCACCTCGGGCAGGGGGGCATTCAAGCCCAGATAGCCATCGAGAGCCATGTGGAAGTCGTAGGTCATCACATTGATGAAGGTCAGGTGCTGGGAAATGGCCGGAATATCGTAGGAAATGGTCGCCGACTTTTCGGAGGCGCCCACAGCAATGCCCAGCTCCAGGCCGTACCGATCGAAGCTGTGTGCAGTGGAAGAGAGATCTAAGATCTAAGAAGGGAGCCCTAACGCCGTCTGGATGCACACTCACGTTTCCTTGATCTCACGGAGAAGGGTCACAAAGTTGACGCGATCTGCCTCACTGCCGCCGCGCTGTCCGGGGTATTCCCAGTCGAGGTCCAGGCCATCGAATCCGTGCTGCTGGATGAACGCCAATGTGGTGGAGATGAAGGTGGCACGCTTGCCGGGATCGGCGGCCAGGGCCGAGTACTTGATGGAGCCCTCGTTCCAGCCACCCACTACGGCCAGGATCTTCAGCTTGGGATTACGCTGCTTCAGGGCAATGGTCTGACTGATGAAGCCTGTTCCCCCCAAAAAGTGGGCACATAGAGAACTCCAGCAGGAAAGCGAACATCTTCGGTCACTTACCCAGTCCATCGTCCATGTCCAGCCAGGTGTCCAGGGACTTGAACTCGCCCGCATCGCCGATGCCGAAGAAGGTGTAGCTGATGTGGGTGCACAGGCTGGGATCGATATCGGAGGGCGTGAACTTGCCATCGCCCGGACGATAGTTGGCCCAGGTGCCCCAATAGCAGTTGACCAGCTCTGCAGGAGTTGAATCGGTTAAAGGCTTTCGCTTGAGAGATCATTCAACCCAATCACTTTCCCCTTTCCACTTACTCTCGCTGCTGGCCTCCTGGCCAAGACCCAGGCAGAGGCAGAGCACTGCAAGTGCCCAGAATGTGTATAGCTTCATGGTGTAGTCGCTCTGAAGAGGTTCTGACCTGGGGGCTGCCTTGGCGTCCATTATATAGGGCCGCCCCGAAGCCCGAAGAGCTCTTATCTTTTGGAATATGAAATTTATTTGTGGAATAGATAAGTCGCCCCCTAGTGATCGTAATCGCCGTAAAGCAAAACAGTTTCCTGATATATTGCATCCATTGAAGAAATTTCAGCTATTCAAGTGGCCACCGATATCTCAGGTGCCCAAACAAACAACTGTCAACGTCGAGATATCTGCCCATGTACCTACACATATTTGAGATTAAATTATGCTAATAAATATTAATTTTGCACCCTCCTCCAGTGGAGTGCATCTTGAGTTGTGCTCGTGTGCTTGGCCATAAATCGAAACTCGGCAATCCTTGCGATACGAGAAAGCACTTCTGGCACACACATTTTAAAGGTTTCTCAAGTTGTTTTGTTTGGCAACTTTAGCCTCAAAATATGCCACACAACTGCAGAGACTTGAAAGACTTGAGAGATCTTTGTACGCAAAGATCAGCCAAGTCTGGACAAGTGAAATTGAGAAATCTAAGAACTAGAAAACTGCCAACACGTTGGATCAAAAACAAAACCTATGCTCGCTTTTTAACGCTCTCCGATGGTATAGCCATCATCTCATTAGTATTTAACTTTCACTGCCCTATTCCCTTATCTGTTTTTTCTAATTTCCATAGCATTAAGTATGGAAACACTCATCTGATACCAAAATAATCAGCCACATAATGGTAACCAAAAGTGTATCGAACCCAAAATAGTAAACAGGCATGTTTTTAATAGACAAATTTTTTATTTTATACTCGTACTCGAACGATCCCAAAGCATTTACCAACGCAGCTTCCTGTTGATGGTCTTCAGCAGGGGATAGGACTCGCCGCACTGTCCGCGGTAGTCGTCGGTCTCCAGGGACCAGATCATGGCACCGGCCAGATTCTTGGACAGGGCAAAGTCCATCTTGTACTGCACACTGAGGACATTGTCGTAGCTGACCCACTGGTCGCCCGAGTAGGCGTAGGGCGCGGCATTGTTGTAGTCGAAGACGGTGTGCCAGTTGTTCAAACAGATCTCGTTGTAGCCCAAGTAGCCGTTGTCGCCGGTGTAGGCGCCGGAATTGCCGGCTCCGCGGCACGGTGCTCCGGGCCAGTTCTGGGAGGCATCGGACAGCTGGAAGCTGCGTCCGTAGGTGCCAACGCCAAGGACAAGCTTGTTGGCGGGCGCACCTTGGCTGAGCCAGAAGTTGATGGCATTCTCCACGCCCCACTGGGGCGAGTTGAAGCCCGTGACGCCGTCGGAGGCCATGGCAAAGTCGTAGGTCATCACGTTGATGAAGTTCACCTGCTGGGCGATATTGGCGATCTCATAGGAGCCGCTGGCAAGCGACTCTCCCGCACCGACAGCGATTCCCAGCTCATAGCCGTAGGGAGCAAAGCTAGTGGAGAAAAAACGGGGTAAGGTAAGGCAGATGCAGGGCATTCTTAGGGTAATGGCACTCTGTGGACTTACGCTTCCTTGATCTCACGCAGCAGGGTCACAAAGTTGGAGCGATCGTTCCAGTTGCCACCACGCTGATTGGGATACTCCCAGTCCAGATCCAAGCCATCGAATCCATTGTTGCGCAGCAGATCGAGGGCCGAATTGATGAAGTTCTGGCGCTTGTACCAGTCACCGGCCATCGAGGAGTACTTGATGGAACCCTCGTTCCAGCCGCCGACCACGGCGAGGACCTTCAGATTGGAATTCTGACGCTTCAGGCCGACGGCCTGGCTAATGAAGCCCAAATCGTAGTCCAGCCACGTGTCCAGGGACTGAATGCTGCCATCGTCCTTGATGCCAAAGAACGAATAACTCAGATGCGTGCACAGGCCAGCGTCGATGTTGGATACATCGAACTTTCCATTGCCGCTGCGGTAGTTGGCCCACGTTCCCCAATAGCAGTTGACGATGCCTGGACAAGTGATGCGTAAAGGATATTATATGGGGGTGCAAGGAGACAGCCAATAGTTTCACTTACGCTCAGCACCGATCGCCTGGCTCAGGCAGAGGGCCACGAGTAGTGTCAATAGTTTTCCCATTTCAGTAGTGCTGCCCCAGCTACAATCCCCCACAGTATTTATACCCTCCTTTCGGCTGGGTCAGGCAGGCCCAATCGTTATCCTTATCCTTATCTGTAGGCATGCATGTCTAAGCTGATAGCCCCCTCCACTCGACTGACAAATTTATTGAAGATTACTCGAAATGCTTTTGAATTTGCAATATTTATGGGACACTCGTCGCTGTATCTCCATTTCCAACTGATTTCTCTTGCCCATCACTGGCCGCCTCTTGAGCTAACGAACTTCACACATAGACCATCAATAAATTAGAGGATAAGGAGTTGTCAATTAACTCTGATTCAAATTTTATTTTCTTCAATTTGTATCATTTGTTTTTCCAATTATAAATAATTGTATTAATAGCGAGGGCACAAGCTACTATTTTTAATTAATTTTTGTTCTAATTATAGTTTAGTTGATTTAATTGTTTGATTGATAAACAAAAATTGCAAATTCACTGCATACCATGGGGAATGTTTCTTTCAACCATCAGTTATTTCATCAGAGACATTCCCAAATTTTGTGTGCCTACTTTTGGGCGTGTTTTATTATATTTCTTAAACATATACAATGTTTGTTTGTTTGTTATTTTTACCAATTTGTGCGAACAAAATTATAAACTTTTGGACGTTGATTCGAGATTCGTTAACAATATTGAATAGAAATGCAAGAATAAATATAATCCATAATTTATGCGACCAGTTGAACTGTAAGCCGCGCAGATAAACAATTCTGATTCAGTGCGTGTTTCCTCAGAGATTCGGAGATTCCCAAGGGCGTCATCCATCCATCGCTACATTTAGTTTGCGACGTAGATCTCGAACTCCTTGTAGGCCAGCTCCTCGCCGCCGTAGGGGATGTAGCAGCAGCCGTGAGAGGGCTGCACCTTGCCGACGGTTATGGTGCCGTCGTGGGTGGCGCGGCCGATGAATAGGGGCTCGCCCTCGGCCGTCTCGCCAGCGGGCAGGGCGTTGGGTGGAATGTTGCCAGCCTCGACGGGGACCCATTGGCCGCCGCCGGCGCACAGGACCTCGTATTCGCCGTGTCCGTGCTCGCCGCCTCCGTACGCAATGTAGGTGACTCCGTGCGAAGGATGCAGCTTGCCGGGAATCAGATCACCCTCGTGGCGGGCGCGTGCAATGTACAGCTGCTCGCTTCCGTCGAATCCTCCCTGCATGGAGTTTGGGGGCACCTCTCCGTTGGCGGCGGGCACCCAGCATCCGGGACCACTGCCGGTTGGTGCGGAAAAGCCTATGGCCGGAGCCGATGGGGCAGAGTCTGTAAGAGCATAAGATAAGGGTTATGCTCAGGAGAACTTTGTGATCCTGCAGTCCTATAACTTACCATCCAACAGCCAGGTGCCGCTGGCACCCCAGCCCGTGCAGATGCCAACAAAGTTCACCGGGAACAGGTCTCCGGCATCGTAAGAGAGGAAGGCGGCAGCGTCGCCCTCGCGGCCCACAGTGATGACATTGTCGTACCAGCGCACCCAGAAGCCGCGGAACTCTCCGGCGTCCAGAATGCCGGGCGTGGGCACCTCCACCAACTCGGGCTTCTGGCGGTCCTTGCGGATCACCGACTTGCTGTTCTCCCAGCCACCCAGGAAGATCTCGTAGATGGGTCCGCTCTCCTGTGGAGAGGGGGTCAGCGCCAGATGGGCATCCTTGGGCGAGCGCACCTTGAAGGTGAACACTCCACCGTTGGCCGGGAAAAACTGGTACTCCAATTTATCGGGTGTGTTGATTTCTGGGGAGGAAAGAGGCATTCGCTTAGCTTTTGTTGCAACTGTACTCAGATCTGAATAGTGGGAATGTTTGGTGGTTCTCGACTGTTTGATCGCCAAACATCTGCCACAAATCACAGAATGAATCTAACTGGAACAGGCTGTACCGCAAAAGAATTTGCTGTTATTTTTATGTTTTTCTATATTCTCTATGTATACCACAACAGATATAGATATATACATACATATGTAGTATATTAGAATTGTTAGCGTCTGTTTTTGTTTTCGCTTCTTTATTAGCGGCATTCGGCGTGATGTCATGCCGATCGCTGTTCGTTCTTTCTGAAATATTCTAGCCCGTTCCACTCAAGCCCCCAGCCCCTGGCCCCAGCCCTGCCCAGCTTATAGCTCAAGAGTGAGGTGAGCCAGGTTTATGGGGTCTGTTACCCATACTCGAACAGCTACGAACATTTGACTATCTGTTTGTTACACGAAATGTTTTCCCAAGCAAACTTTGTCGCATGACATCATTTAGGGGCATCTCTCTCATCGCTGACCCTCAGGTTCCTCCCTAGCGCATTCTTATTGATTATTACCAGAGTAGATTTCAAGGCGAAGACGTGTGACTCAGTCTGATTTTCGGACACTTTGAATGGCAACAAAACTTTATATTCTCCGCATTTGCACGATAATTGAAACTGGATGATCACAAGGTGAAAGTTGCCTACGTCTTTCACAGCTCCCCAAAACTACTTTACATGTATTTAGCGCATAAATTGACACGATAAAAAATAGACCAAAAATCAAAAATATTCGCCATCAGATGATTTATATGCTTTGTGTGCTTCATTTAGATGTTTTCGATTTAAGGAAAATAAATGCCGACACACTTCTTCTACTTCTTCTGCTTTGGGCGTTGGGCCAAAAGTTTCTCTGCATTGTATTCCACTTGCCACTCTGCTCTGTCTTCCTGTATCACAGCTTACCCAATTAATATATTCCATTATCCAATAGCTCTATGCACTCCACACACTCCACCCACACCAAGGTACTCACCAATGGTCATGATTGTTGTTCTTTCGCTTTACGTTGCTCGCTTATTGAGATTCTGATTGGAACTGCCGCAATGGAGCTCATTTGCCGCCGAAGTAAGCAACCACACGACCCAAATGGGTGGAGAGCGGGAAGCAATGCGAACAATAAAAGCTCCAAAGCTTTCGCTCTTGCGCTATGATGTGCGAAATGAGGAGAGGAACGATCGTTGTCGTTGTACTGTACTGTACTGTCGACTGTAGCTGCAGATAACTATTTTTAATTTGGGGTATTACTGAACTAGCATACATTTTGTTGCAGAAGTGCGGATGGTATGATTATGTATTAGATATAAAAATTAAGTATGCATAGTGTGCCTATGGTAGGTCTGAATATATTTGCAATTTTAGACTTGAAAAAGTGTATGACGACTTCGGTGCTTCAATGTTGACCCATTTCTATGAGTCAGTTTAGCAAAAGCTAACTGCTGATGTCATCAAGCACAGCGAAAGCTTTAGTTATGATATGGCAAAGAGGGTATATTAGTTTCAGCCACAGCATGTAGTATGCCTTGATATTCAGTTTGTTTGCATTGCGACAAGATTGTTTAAGTCTGATACAGAAACATCATTAAGTTATTCAATATATTGCTAACATCTATGTAATTTTCTAGGGTATCTTTTTCTCTTAACGCACACCGCAGAGGTTACCTTCCTGTTGTTTGCGTGCTCTCTTTGGGTATGCTTTCGTCATTTTTAGTGGCGTCATGTGCCGGTTTTATTTGAATTTGTCACATGCGGACCCACCAAAACCGGAGCATAAAATGTTTTAGATCAATGACTTCACCGCAGTGACACACGGATACGTAAATTATACGAACAACGTGTGAAAATTGTTGTTAAATTTTTCCATTTCAAATCTGGGTTCGATTGTAAAGCATACTTTTAGGATGTGTAATTATGAGATGACTTGACTTCTTTCTTACTTCCTTTTGCTGGTCCCTTCCTGGGTGACAAGCACCCCTCCTTAGCAGGGTGCGCAAGTTTCGCGACTTATCTTTCTTTTGCGTCATTCCTTTTTGGGTGTCCGTTTGGGGCTGGCTGTCAATGTCAGTCGTTGCCGTTCCGTTACGCCGATTGTATGCCGCGCGCTCCTGCGTCTGTCGGTCTCCTTTTTTTGCTAGACACGTGCATGCGCAGAGCTTTTCAACGGAACGAAAATAATACACGATAAACAAATTGTGCTATTAGTAACAGCAGAAAAGTGCCAGCAGTGCCAATTTTATTGTGATAAGAGTCGATCAATTGCTTAAGTGTATTTATACCGCAGACACCTGAACAGACGTACACACCCATGTAATCGGATGGCAAACCATATGGCAGACGAATAAACAAACAATAAACGGTACTCTGCTCGATTGAGGTTTTGCAGTATAGCAGACCGTTTAATGTTAGTGGCAATGTAAACCGATCATGTTACTGGAAGGGATTCGAATTACATTACCATCAGATTAGAGCGTACTATTGCGTGTCATTAGAAAACTTGAGGGCTGAGTAATCATCTGAAACTTATCTCAGATATCGTTCAGACTTGCACTTTATAGACTGACGAGCCCCCGAAAGACCCACTGCGCAGATAAGCGGACAAAAAACAAGTTAACTTTGTTTACACTTTCCCATTTAGCTTTATTGTTCCATTTGCATATGGAATGTGGAACCAGACCCGACCGACCCGTAACAGCGAGAGAGCTGCCCCCGGAATGCAATTCAATTGAGGAATATTTTCGCTTGCTCTGTTTCTCTAAAGTGGAATAAATTAACACGATTCAATTATGGTTTCCGCTCCTGGGCTTTCAAAGACAATTGCAAATCTGGTCGCTGGCTGGATTGGATGGGTTGATTCAATCGGATTCAATTTACCCTTAGTTCCAGTCCGACCACTAGAATTTCTTAAACGGCAGGCCTCCTCCTCCAAGTGTCGGGAGAGCAGACAATTGAGACTAAAGTGCCCTAGGGCAATCAACTCAACACTACGACCGTAGATACGGATGAACAGAAATGGAATAAATAGAGAAAGGAAGAGTTTAATACACTGAAAACCTAGCCACATTGTTATTAAATATGAATGCCCACGTGAAATAGAAAATAGTTCTTATGAAATACTTATCTAAAAATGTAAGCAAAAGTGTACGAGTATGTGTATGCTCTTCTCTCCGTGTGTGATGTTGACGAGCCCCCCAACAACACTCTTGAAAACCTACGTATATAAAGCTATGTATTGTATAAAGCTAAGTATGGACATTCGACTATACTATGTACATAGGTGCACATACATACATATGTACATGTACTTCTGTGGTGAATATCTGGTTGGTTGCAAAACGAGTTTGACTTACTCTCGATCTTCTCGCTCTCTCTCGCTAAGGTATGTATCTTGAAAAGTGGGAGGGACGAGGTCTCACCATGATTTACCTTTTATTTCGGTTTGATTGGATTTGATAAAGCTTCAGAGTTACTGTGAATTCGGTACCCTTTGAAATGTTATATTTAAATTCTGAATAATGCAATTCGCACTTGGTAATGGAGTTGTTCCGATAACTTTTTGCTTATCTTATTTGTCTCTTGTGCTGCGTGGATGCTTGTACCTAGAGGTCATTGCCGAAGGTCATTGATATCTTGATAGGGAAATGTATTGTTTTGACAAAATACACTCACATCATTTTTGGAACCGGTTAGTTAGTCTGGCAAAGGTACTCACTCCTCATGGTACTCAGCCAGTGGCAAGGGCACCTTGAGAATGACACATTTATGTTTGTGTTCGTTTGTATGATATGTGAAGTTCCTAAACATTTTGTTTAAGGGGTAGTGCTTGCTGTTCTTGCTGTCAACACGTCAGATTTCAAATGCTCTTGCAAATTGCATCAACCCAGAAGGCCACGAGAGAGTGCGATTGTAGAATTGCAAGCAACCCAGAAAGAAAAGAAGGAAGAGTATTCATATTTCGGGAGAGGGAGAGGGTTAGGGTGCAGAAAAAGAACCGGCGGAACACGCTCGTGACGCTCGTCACACACAAACACACACACACGATGAGAGACCACCTCACCACACTCTTTTTCTCTCCCACTCGGCAACAGACAGCTGACATTTTATATTAGCATACATGGGCTGACTTTACTTTCTTCAGCACAATTCTTCAGCCTGCTGCGACAACTGGATAATATTAATCTGCACGGATAAAAATCTATATACTGTTAGACTTTTAGTTTGCTGAGTGTATGGCAATCAATCAAATGTGGCGCTTAGTGAAAGAATAAGCGACATTCGTGACTTTGTTGAACAGTGTAAAACCACACACACAATGTGCTCTGCTCTCTGTTCTCTCTGCCTTTTTGGATATGCAATGCTAATGTGGTGGTGTGGAGAGCACGCGAGAGGGTAAAAACTATTTAATAAACCGTAAGTTAGCGCGATCGTCATTCGGTGGCGGAAAAAGCTCGGACGAACAACAAGTGGGCCAGAAACGCTAACGCTAAACAGTGGCAAAACGGAGCTAGTAAAGTGATCGAAGTTCAGTGGAAAAGTGATAAAACAAGACAAAAGACAAAAAACATTTTGCCAAATTCAACTCTGTGTGTGGCATACGCAGCACTGCGGCTATTTGCAAATTGCTCGCCGCAACAACTCCAGGCAGAAACCTCATAATCCGCACCATGGCTGCTCCAACGGGTCCTACCAGCAATCACAAAATAAACGGCAATGGGTGAGTTGTTTTCTTTGGTGTGATTATTTTCGGTTCGATTGGTGGTGGGGCATTGCATAAGCTGGCAGAACTGCAGAATTGTGCATTCGATTGCCAAGGAAAGACATCTGCTGGCTTTCACTTTCCTCCCTGTCCTGTTCCCGGGCCAGCGGGGGAGTTGGCCAATGTCTCGCCAATTGGTATTCCACATAGGTAAATACATACATATAGTTAGTAGTTTTATTTTAAAACGCTGCTGCTATTTTGTGATTCTGTGCCAATGCCATAGTTTTTTTTCTCGATTCCGTTTTCCGTTTCTGTTATTGTTTTATCGCTTCTTACGCACATTCGTCGTGCCAGCCGGCGAACAACAAATTCCTATGCTTTGTTTGTGTACTCTATTTCTGGTTCAAGCCAAAATATTCTTGGTCCACATCAGAAATGCAGTGGCTCAAGCAGGGCCATTCAAATGTTCGGTCTCCAAAGCAAGCATTTATTTCCTTCTGTTGTTTGTATTTAACTTCTGAACATTAAAGCAAATATACTTCCCCAAAAACAGCTTTCATAGAGTATTTAAAATTCACTTATGGTATCTTTGTTTTCGTTTTGTTTTGCTTTTCGGTTTATGTGGAAAGGAGAGTACTCAAAATGGAAAAGAGAGTAAATACTCATAATACTCGCATGTTTTCAATGAGAGTAAATACTCGTAGTATTTCAATTATTAGTGAAGTTTATAGGGTTTCCGGTAGCAAGGGTTCCTTTAAAGAGTATAACCGTTAAGTGGACGTGTAAACAGTGTAATATTTTCGACGATTCGTGACAATAGAGCAGTGCACTGCAAATGCATTTAAAAGCGAATTATATCAATATTTAGCCGAGTAGTTAAGCACGTGTCGGACCCGATGTCACATACGACCTTGTGTTGGTGCAACCTTTGGAATTTTAGTGGGCACGGGGCAATAGCTATCGTCAGGCAACAGGTGTGAGAGATTACACTAGAAAAAATGCTTGGGTACCTATGTGCTTTTAGTTGTAAGAACTAAACTCATGGACAGGTTTTATCAGGGTACCATGGTGACTAATGCTTATCAGCACAACGAGCCCCCAACTACTGATATGCGAGCCCCTTCTACGAAATTAAAATGCCCTGTAAAACTCGGTAATATGTAAAGATAGCGTAGCTCGTTGCAGGAATAATTATAGTCGTGCTAGTTTCCGGATTCGAAACCTGATGAGTCCCCTCCGTTTTCCGTGGGTTTTACAGGACTTAATTTCCCCTCTCTTAAATCGAACAAAACTGTATGACTCGATCTGCCCCATCTTGAATGCAGTTACTTGAGCAGAACCGCAGGCCTGAATTCTTTTCTCTCCCTGTTAGTCCGGCGCACAGTCGCGTACATTCTGCAGCCGCACACGGGCAGCAACTTGCACTCCATAACTGACACTTGACATGTTTTTTACATGTATACTCGACATTTTATGCGCCAAAAAGTATGCAACAGATTTAACGGCTACGGCTAGAACTTCAAGTAAAACAAGTATACGTAGTGTAGACGTAATACTTTGTGAAAGTTAACTTTCGGAACAGAATACCAGTGTCATGGTACGAAAGAACCATTAACAGGCCAATATGTGGCTATCGATGTGAAGCTGCTTGATGTGTTCTGTATAAGTGTTCTGTTATCTACTTCTACTGATGAATATTTTCAATAAAGTGTGTTTGGGTATCGTGATTGTGTGTTTCAATCAACTAGTCGAATCAAAGGTATTTTCAGACCTGAACAAAATAAATATACCCCTTTTATTCAATATTCTTTGATAGGCATTAATATTCCTAGTTTTTGATCTTAAATGTATGCAGAACATATACTTATTACGGGGAATCGTTTAATCTGTATAAGCAGCTGCTGCTAGTCACGTTTCGCATTGGATTGTTTGGAGTTTCCGTGTGTGTTCGCACCTGACCTGTGATTGGCTCTTGCCAGGCGGTGTGTCCAGTGCATATGTAATGGCGGGAACAGGTTATGCCGTTAAGATCTAGCCTCTTCAATACTCCTGACATATCGATTGCCATAGAGCACCGCACTGGAGAATACTTTGTTAATGCAGCTACTACAATTATCAGCTTATTATCAGCTCACATTTCTTATCATCTCTAACTCTGACAGACAGAGGAGACAGACAGACAGAGACAGACAGAGAGACAGACAGACGAGCAGGGCAGAACCCCCTCCAATCACAGTCTCAGTTCGAAGTTGATAACATTCAGAGCACGCAAATGAGATGATGCTCATCACAATATTCCTCTCAAAAGGGGGCCATCTTCAGTGGTTCTCGGGGGCGTTGATTAAATCAAATCTGATTGCGATTAGGAGTTGGAGTATTCGACATAGAGCCAGGTGAGTGTCAAGGCGGATCGAATGCTATCTCTGCGGCTGGCACTAAATAGTCGGCTAACCTTGGCTAACCTTAGTCAAAGTACGATTATTTGTTAGTGATTGCGCTGCTCTGTAGATCAAAGAGTGTAAACCCTATAGTTTGGAATGAAAATAACAAGAGTGCAAATAACTGAATAAAAGTGGAAATTATATATTTTTGTTCTATATGAACCTACCCGTCACCAGTTAGTGTATTCTAAATGAGCGTTCCTTGGCCTATCTCGCACTAGTAAATCTTTGTGGTATATCAAAAAAATACTGGTGAATATATAACTAATTTATTGCCAACGATAGCCAACGTGTTCCTCCAGTGATACTTATCTCAGTATTGGAGGCTCTTAATTACCACGTTCGCTGCTTTCAAAAGTACAATTCAATCTTATCGTTCCAGTTTATTATATTGTGATTTTGTCAGAGGAAAGCTATAGGAAATCCAACTGAAGTATTTATAATCTTAATGCTGTGTCAAGTACTAGAACCAATTCGGTTCAGAATAGTATCTACTCAAACTACGAATACAAGGGCCGAGAGTTTTTGTTGGAGGAAATTGCAAAAAACACTTTCATAATCGCCCAATCACTCACTCAGCAAATGGGCAAATTTACGCTTCACTTGAAATTATTCAACAATAACTTTTCGCTGGGAACGAGCAACATTTCCATTTGGAGTAACGGCTGAAAGTTGGAGAAGATTATTTAACCCTTGGATTATCATTTTGGGCGACTCTGTTCTGGTCTGGTCCAGATTCTGGGAGTAAATGTAAATCTCATTTAAAGGCAGTCTGACAGTTGCCCTCAAACGTTGAACATCGTCCGTCGGAGGAGATTGAGAGCAGTCTGTCGAGTAGCGAATTTGATTAGAACGAATAATATATATACATATATACATATGATATATTCGAGTGTTCCCGTACGAGTATATATACATATGTATAATCCCTGCATTCGTATATAGTATAATATAATATAATAATCAAGTGCCACAGTGACGAGATAAAGTGCGAGTTATAAAAACTCGCACACATCGCAGCGGACTGCCAATAATAAAAGTGTGTGATATGCGCGAACAAAGTGAAAACTCATTTCAAACCAAAGAATAATCAAATATATAATTGTAATTTTGTTTTTGTTAAATTAAAATTAATTTCGCAATTGAGTAAATCTCGCGGGAACAGGGCAGCAATTATCATATAATTTACAATATAATTTTTTGTGGTTGCTGATAGTTTTCCCCCTGCCATTCGCTGACCTGACAGTTTTCCATTCCTCTGCTATTCGCTGTTACTATTTTCCCGAGCACTCTGCTTAGAGATCTCATTTGATCCAAACGTACTGAATGTCAATGATCCATGATGATCCCCACCAGGGTGGGTACTTGACATTTTCGGTTGACGTAATGGATGGAGGTACAGCCGATACGAGTATATGTTAATGAAGAGTCTAGACTCATTACGAACCAAAGTCAGTCGCAAATCCAGATCGACTGGAACTTGTACGGAGTACTTGCTGCTGCCTCCTAATATCCGAAACACGTTTATCTTCCACCGCCCCAACGATGCGTTCGTTGGTTGCGCAAACTCTTGGAATTTTTCGCCAAATCGTTGCCCAGAGCTTGAACTAGTAATTGTTTAAATGGAATTCCTCTCAACGTGAAGGGCGTTAAAATTCCAATAATTCCAGCACTTCACCTTTGGCGAATTGATTTCAAGATCTAAATGTTCCCTTGACAAACTTTCGTCAATGACTTTTGGGCAATCTTAAATCAGAGATTAAGTTGAAGTGTTTTCATCGATAATGGCTTATCGCTTATCATCCATCCTTCCCCTTGGACTGTTACCGCTATTGCTATTCCATCGGGTTGAGTGGCCGTTACATTTAGTTGCTAATTCGATAAGAACTGTACAAACTCCACGACTGTAATGAATCTTTCGACATGGAAACAATACTCATCCCAGCATGGGATATACATGTACCTTTTCCTATTCCTCTTTAGAGACGCTTTTCAAGGCTTTTCTTGTGTAAATTCTTGGCAAACTTTTTGCCGATTCCGCACATCAATGACCTCTCGAAGGTTTCGGGAGCACCAAAAAACAGGCAAACGAGTGGCCAAAAAAAAAAAACAAGTTAACTCAACCTGATGCACAAGGGGGCTGCCTAATTACTTTTCCAGTTTTCGTGTGTGTTTTCGTATCTTTTGTGCGCCTAAACAAATTATATTAAACATTAAATACAGACGAAACTGAGCTGCTGCGAAGTATAGTTATTATAATGATTAAGCAAATAAATATACGTAGATAGTGAATGGCATGGCCCACATAATGATTATAGATATACGTATTGTCCTTGAACGAGAATTGGCAGCTGTTTCAGAATCGCAGAATAGGTCGGAATAATTTCAAAGGTCGTCGCTTTGGGGACGGGACGTCATTTTGTCATTTAGCACTTGCCCCGATGACGACAATCGGTAATCATAAAAGAGATATAATCACAACAATACACATAATAAACCAGATGAATGGTGGCAGTGAGGGATTCCGATTCCATTCAAGAAATATCTCATTATTTTATACACGCACTTGAAAAAAAAAACCACAAAAATAGTAGTACGAGTACATAATTCGAGAGTTATAATTATCTGTGGGAGTCGGGTAGAGTGGAATAGAGTCGAGTCTCTTGTTGCATTTTATATGTTTTATATGGAATGCCAAGCCGGAATGGAATTTTTAAATGTTTTGTTTGAGCTATGCGGAATCGGAAGCCCCCATTTATTATAGAATATTTTTTAAACGCCCATCACGTATGTATGTAGAAGAGTTGGGGTTTCTACGAGTATTTGTCATCCAGCAGGTGCCTTAGTTATTGACTGAAAAAAAACGTCCATTACACCCGTTCAAATATTGATAATGTCTGTTCGAATCCGATTGGAACGGAACTGAAAATTAATACTAGTTGGTTTTTCGTAGCTTGTTAGCTTCCTATCGGTTATATTTGTGATTCATTGGCTATAATGCCAGTCTGCGATTACAGTCTGCACTCAAACTAACTGCGATTCGAATGGTTTTAGCTGCTAAATGCTGAATAGCCTCGCTAATGGAATCATGAAAATGCCAGCCCAGCGCAACTTGTTTGTTGTGACGTGCAACATCATTGATTCAGTTGCAATTGTTTGCTACTCCCGCTGATCCACTGATTCGCTGGTCCGCTGGTCGGCTGCCGTCACAGAAACATAGCGAAACGAAACAATGGGCTGGCGGATCGCTTCTGTTCGGGGGATCTGTTTCTCACTCCCATAAGCCACAATGGTTCCGTTTGCTGGCACTTTTAGTTTCCCATTTGCTTGCCTTTTGTTTTCCCCAGCCCCATAAATGCGATGACTCCCAGAGATGGGAGTGGGTGGGGAGGGAAGGCACTCTTATATCATAATATATCGTAATGCGATCCATCATAATCTTAATGTGGCCCAAAGCCAACAATACTTGATGGATATATTCTGTAGGTGATATGTATGCAATAAATCATATCAGAATATTTTCAGTTCGGATGAATCTTCAATGAATCTTTAGGTTTATTCGTGTTCTGCAACGCAGTTTAAATATTTTGATCTTGATTTTCTTTAACGAGCACACACATAAATCCATATGCTATATGTCGCAAATGCAATCCTTATTCAGCAAATCAGTTCAATTAAGACTTGTTAGTGGTACAACCACAACCACAACCACCCACAAAGAAAGAAAGAGAGAGGGAGGCACGTCGTGACGTTCCACCGAAACGTCGCAATTCCGTTTCATTATTTTGTGTGGCCAGACCAGACACGTGTCGCTGCTGACACAGTGCCCATAGATGATCTCCCCCCAATGCTATTTATAGAGCCGAACATACTCGATACATAAGTATGTACATAAGACGTATATTATTAAATATTGAGGTAAAATTGGAGTACATGTTTTTCCCCATTCCCAATGGGGTTATTCCCCCGATTTGCATCTTTTCTATCGGGAGCAGGGCAGTATTTACATAGCACTGAATTATATGGAAAAATCTGTCAGGAAATTAACATTTTTATAGCTCGTTCTGGATTCCTGATAAATACTTTTACTCCTAACGGGTAACTTTAATTAATTTTTCCGTCTTTATCTTACAAAGTGGAGCAATGGAAGTGACTTTAATGGCTTTTAATTAGCATGTTAACTAGGCCTAAAAGTGCCAAAACAAAAGAACTGTCCCTTATCTGAAACGCCTTGACATTACAGTGGAACATCCTAAAACTGAACCGCTAAACGCTAAATATTCTACACATATTTGAGGTGTATTTCGATGCCCCATAATCCATCAATTGATGCGGGCACCACTCTGTGGGATATCTATTTGTGTTTATGGATGTGCATATGGATTTTATATGTATATATTTCAAGGCTTCTGTCGTACTCTCATGAATATTCCATTCACTCATCAGTTATCCGTTGGGTGTGCCAAAAACACTTTAAACCTAAGGAAAAGCTATAGATAACAGTATTCCTGGAAAGCCATCTGACAGATACATAGATACATTTGTATGTAGGCTTACATTAGAATATACTCGGCTTGAATACGGCGGTACTCGCTTTCGGTTTCGGTTTGGGGGCACTTTACCGATTTTATAAATAGATTGAACGCGCCCCCAAAGCGGCACGAGCGATATCTCCAGTTTCCCACCTTGCTCCAACGATCCAACGTTCGTGGATCGATCGCTCGTTGGTCGTCGTAGGTCGTCGTCGTCGTCGTAGTTCGTCGTTTAGTCGATTCAATTTTTTTTTTTTATAAAATTGGAAACGGTGGAAACAGTTAGAAGTATTCTTGCGCTGACTGGCGCTGGTTGTGCTCGTGTGGTTCGCGTGTGGCAGATACACAGATACTTACTAAATTTAATTCCCTAGAAGCTTAGTGAATATATCAACCAGCGAGCTGCAGCACTCTGTACTTACACAACCGAAACATCCTGCAATTAGAGCCCAAGTGAGAATATTGGCTAGTGTTTGATATGACCAGATTAGGATTCGTGTCCATCCAGCTGCTCCTGTTGTTATGGAGTTGCCTTGGGGCTCTGTCTCAGGCGAAATCCCTCATCGACCATCGCATTGATAATGAGAATGCCATTGCCAAGGATGTGGAAGCGTATAATTTTGAAAGTTGGTAAGTTTCCGTACTCCATCTGTGATCTGTGATTATTTGAAGTACGAATAATGTGTGCAAAATTAAATTGCATTGCATTACATGCCAGTACATTTCCCAATGCATTGAGTGCTTTCCTTTCCCTCGAGACAGACAGACAGACAGACACATAAACGTGACGTCGTGTTAACCACAGACTCGTGCTCGGGCATTAGCCTTAACAGATCGAGAGAGAGATACTTTACGATCTAGACAATGATATTTTAGACAGGTGTTCACTTAACCAGAGAACGAGAGCCACCTGGACTCCAGGGGCTTTATGCCAGTTTCAATTGTAAATTATTTGCACTAATTAATGACGTCACTAATTGATGACAACTGACGTAAGTTACCCGCCTAAAGTAGGCAAATTCGCATATATAAAATATATGTATGTACATTAAATTAATATCAACTTCCAGTCCATCCTCTATTGTGATTGCTAAGAATTTCTTGGCCAAATATTATTTATTTGCTCGAAAGGAAAAACACATCTGTTCTGTATTTGTGAAACTCTATAATGATATATCCCCCCCGATTATAACTTGCCTCATTCCAGTCAAATCTACTGCTATGGCGAGCTTTTGGAGACCATTCAAATGGCCAAACTGTTCGACGACTCAAAGACATTTGTGGACATGAAACTGAAGCAGACGCCGGCCAAGACGATCGAGAACTTTGAGCTGTTGATGGAGGCCAAGAACAGGACACCCAGCCGCGAGGATCTGCAGCAGTTTGTGGATGTGAGTGGGGGGAAGCCAGCACCGACCCGACGGATGTGAGGGCACACTGAAGATTGTGTTATATTTTGCAGGAATACTTCAGTCCAAAGGGCACGGAACTGGAAGTGTGGACACCGACAGACTGGAAGGCGAATCCCAGCTTTCTTGATCTGATCACCGATCCAGACCTGAAGCAGTGGGGCCAGGAGCTGAACAATATCTGGAAGGATCTGGGACGCAAGATGATCGACGATGTGGGAAAGAATCCTGAGTACTACTCGATCATCCCAGTGCCGAATCCAGTGATCATTCCGGGCGGCCGCTTCATCGAGTTCTACTACTGGGACTCGTACTGGATCATCCGCGGACTGTTGTACAGCGAGATGCAGGACACAGCGCGTGGCATGATCGAGAACTTCATGTCCATTGTGCAGAGGATCGGCTTCATTCCGAATGGCGGACGTGTCTACTATTGGGGCCGCTCCCAGCCACCGCTGTTGACCGGCATGGTCAAGTCCTACGTGGACTTCACCAGGGACGATCTATTCGCCATCAATGCCCTGGATGTGCTCGAGCACGAGTTCGAGTACTTCGTGAACAATCACTCGGTGCAGGTCAAGGGTCACAATCTGGCCGTCTACCGCGACTCGTCGACCGGTCCGCGGCCCGAGTCCTACCGCGAGGATGTGGAGACAGCAGAGAACTTTGACACGCCCGAGGCCAAGGAGGATCACTACAGCGAACTCAAGTCTGCCGCCGAGTCGGGAATGGACTTCAGCTCGCGTTGGTTCATCAATGAGAATGGCACCAATGTCGGAACTCTGAGCAACCTGAGGACACGCTCCATAGTGCCCGTGGACCTGAACGCCTTCCTCTACTGGAACGCCAAGCTGATAGCCGAATTTCACGCAAAGGCCGGCAACGTGGACAAGATGACGGAGTACGAGAAGAAGGCCCAGACGCTGCTGCAGGGCATCCAGGAGGTGCTGTGGAACGAGGAGGCTGGCTGCTGGCTGGACTACGACATGATCAATGAGAAGCCACGCGACTACTTTGTGCCCACCAACCTGGCGCCCCTGTTTGTGAAGGCGTACAACATTTCCGATACGGAGAAGATCTCCGCCTCGGTGCTGAGCTACATTGAGAAGAACAAACTGGACACATTCCCGGGCGGAGTGCCCAACACGCTCTACCAAACCGGCGAGCAGTGGGACTTCCCCAATGTGTGGGCGCCCATGCAGTATATTGTGGTCGAGGGACTGGCCAATCTGAACACACCCGCTGCCAAGGAGCTCTCCAAGAAGTGGGCCCTGCGCTGGGTCAAATCGAACTTCAAGGCATACACCGAAAGCTTCCACATGTACGAGAAGGTGAGTGATTTCCATGCCAACTTATTCTGTGAGATTTCTGAGAATAACCTCCTTTTGTTGTGCAGTACAATGCTGAGGAGTATGGCGGCCATGGCGGTGGCGGTGAATACGGAGTCCAGACGGGATTCGGTTGGTCCAATGGTGTGATCATTGAGTGGCTCAGCAAGCACGGACGTGAGCTCTCTGAGGGCTATGTCGGCGGTGGAGCAGGTGAAGAGCTGCAGTAGAATGAAGCCCCCAAAAACGCTATACATCACACATCTATCCATCAATCAATCAATCAACCAATCAATCAACCAATCAATCAACAAAACTCTCGTTAAATCAAATTGATATATTTGTATAAGAAACCATCATCAATGTTGCTCATCTCTAGGCTAAGAAAATGCTCCCTACGCTCTATCTACACAACACCTATCTATCCCGCTATCTCGCTCTCTATAACTACTTTATACTATATACGATATATATCGCGAACAAACGACAAGATCAATCGACCACAGTCAAAGCACCAATCAACCAATCAACACAGCAGGAAGCAGGAATACGATCGCCCAAAACTGTCTGTTAAAACCATCTATTTGCCATCTTCCACGTTTACGTCTACGTCTAAATCTGCGCCATTCGTGTTATTTGTCAAAATTCAAATCAAATCAAATCAAAATGAATGTAGATTGTCCTCAATGCCGCCTCAAGTTCCAGCTATCAGCGTAAGTGTCCACAATTGGGTTGCATTTCTCTTTATGTTTGTTTGATGTGTTTGTTTGGTGAATGTCATGTCCGAGGCATGTGTTTTGTTTGTGTAACCCCAGTGCACTATAGGTATCAGGTATCATTTCGAGGATAATCTGTCATATTATAACTGAAGGATCCATGTACATAATTAGTATAACATTTCGCAAATCTATTAATCACTTGTCTGCCAATTTCCTGTACATTTAGTGCTAGTATTACCTAACCACATACTCAGCTCCTGGCTTATTTAGCATGCGAATGGCTTTCCAGGATAGCTGCTAATCGAAATTCACTAAAAACATAGAGAAACCCCAAACAAAATTCGGACTCTAGCAGTATCCTGTGCATAGAACTCGACCGTTCGATAGATAGCACCACTAATCCAAGGATTTTCTTTTTACCCCACTCTCAATATAGCCACCACCTCTCGCCTGATCAGTGTTGTGGGCGTGGCAGCTGTAACCATAGTGGCTCTGATAGCAGGTCGCGTTCTATGGTGAGGTGGGTATTCAAGCTCGCATTCTACGGGTATTTACAGGCAGACAGACTAATTGCAATCCAATTTAAATTTTACTTTCAGAGACATATTGTTATGTGCCAAAAGCAAAACAAAACAAAACAAAACCCAACGTAATTGCTTCCCCAACGAAAATGTGATTCCCTCCGATGTGTATGTGTGTATTTATTGTCCATACATATATGTGGTTTTTTGTTCGTGTCGTCGTCGTCGGAATGTGCGGAGATTGCAGTATTAGATGTTGTCATTATTTGTTAGTAGATGTGAGAGGAGAGTTGTATATACAGAATTTATATGGGCATGCCCTACATTGTTATTAATTATGAATATTTAGTGAATATACCAAAAAAAAAAACCAATCCTAGCTCCTCGCAACCAAATAAAGACACAAAAAAATGTTTAAAAATTGGCAAATGTTTGCTTAGATAAATTGAATAAACAAGAACATAACCTATCTATCCGTATATCCTTATTTGTAGCATGGCCTCCCATTATACTACATTCGCATTTATAACATTATCTCAATTCGTTGCAGGAAAAGTTGGTTTAAGTAATCGAAGTGTGCGCATCCTCTGTTTTTAATTTTTATATTTGCTTTGAGTTTAATTAAATAATGAAAACTTATCCACGACAAAAGCTAAATGTAGAGCACAAAGGATTACATACATACATCTATACATCTATCTGGCATCGGCGAACGAACAGAAAGCGGATGGATATGCCTTGGAAAGGTTGGACCACGTATAATAGTAATCGTAATGGTAATCATAATATCGGAGCACAAACAAAGAGCAATAAGCTCCAAAAGAATATATATGAACCAACTTAATAGTAATCATAGTTCCCCGCATACTCGTAAACAATACACAATAAATATAGGCTTGGAGCCCAGCTCATCTCACAATCGCTTCGCCTAGTTGGACTGCTGCTGCTGCTGCTGACTCTGGCTGTGGTTATGGTTCTGATGCTGCTGCGGCGGCTGCCCCTGACTGAAGTAGGGAGCGGTGTTTGGCGTGAGCAATGTGTGACATATATCACAGACTCGGGCGACCCGTTTCCGTGGTCCCGATGGCACCGTTTTCGTTAGACATTTATCGCAGTATATGTGGCCGCAGTGCCGGCAGTGGATTTTCCGCACCATCACCGTAAAGCCGGCACTGCACGTGGGGCAGTTGTTCACGTCATCGTCATCCTGCCAGCGCACCTCCGTATCGGCATGCCGCAGCTCCTCCAACGACATCTATTGATTTATTGTATTTTTTGTAAGTGAATAAACGTACGTTGTTTTTTTTTTTACATGGAAACTCACTTGAAGGGTCTGAGATAATTTCACAAAATCTTTTTGCACCGTCTCCATGGTGGACAGCTCCTCTTGCAGAGTCTTGATCTTTGTTTTGTAGTCCACATTGGTTTTGGCATGTTTTTCCTGTAAATACAAAGGATATTTGAGTGGATATTTGGAGCTCTGTAGGCTCTCTACTTACATTGGCCTCCTGCAGCTCAATGATCTCTACGCGACTCTCGGACAATTGCTTGTTAAGCTCAGCCTCTTTGCGCTCCAATTGGGCCTTGGTCGTCTCGTACGATTGCACCGTCAGCAAATGTTCCGTCAGACGATCTCTGCGAATTGATTTCGAATATGAACCGGCACTCGCAGTGCACTTGAGATGTGCCTGAACAACTTACTGCAGAGACTTGATGTCCATTTGCGTTTGGCGCTTGTAGGAGCGACGCTCGCTGTTGCTCTCCTCCAGCTGGGCGCGTAGGATTTGTATCTCGTCCAACGTGCTCACACATCGCTGCTTCTCATACTCGCTGCTGACGCGGGCCTGAATCAGTTCGCTCTGCTGGCGCAGCATGAGCTCCTGCAGTTCGACGACCGTGTTGGGCAGATTTATGTACTGGTTCTCGATCTCTTCAGACGTGGCCAGGTAGCGACCGGATAGAAAGTCGTTGTCGGCCTGCAGGGTCTCCAGTTGCTTGTTGACATGCTCCCGATCGTCGGTGATGCGCTGCAGCTGCCTCATCACCGCGTCCTTGGTGTCGATAAACTTTTGTTGCATGTCCAGCAGCTGCTGCTCGCTGGACGCGGTCTTGTCTCGCAAGCTTTGTACTTCACTCTTGTGCGCCTCGCGTTTCTCCTGCCACTGATCCTCCAGGTCCTTGCGAAGCGCCGCCTCCTTGCCCAACGTCTCGCGGGCCTCTACCAGCTGTTTCTGCAGCAGATCCACCTGCTTTTGCTGCTTCTTAATGTGCGCATTTAGGTCCTCAGCTGCCTTCTCTGCCACACTACAGCATTCGCAGCGTGACTCTGCCACATCCATGGATGTGGACTTGTGCATGGCAGACATGTCGCTGACAGTGGCCGCCGCCGCCTTTGCGTTCGTCTTGGACTGCAGTTGATCATCCTGCTCCCGCAACTTCTCCTTCAAGGCCTTCATCTCCTCCTGCAGCTGTTCGACGATGGAATGCAACATTTCCGCATCTTCTGAGGCCTGCAAGAGACACTTGTATTAGAGCGATTGGCTGCCTTTTGGGGCGTACCTACATATTGTTTCCCGTTTCCCTTGTTGTTCGGTGGCCGAAGACTGTCGTCCTCCTGCTGAAAGCTGCTGTTGAGCGAATCGCTGCCCAGCTTCCTCACAGACCCCAGCGTCTTCTTAACCTGATTCAGCATTTGCGGTGCCAAGCCACCGGATGACTCAGCCGGGGGCTGTTGGATCTGAACTTGCACCTGCTGATGCTGCTGCTGTTGGTATTTGCTAAACTCCAGTTTGAAGCGCTCCAGCTCGCTCTTATAGTTTGACGACTCTTCAATTGTGTCCTGCACCAGCTGCTGCAGCGACGATATCTCCTCCTGCGCCTTGATGTCCCTCAGCTGCATCTCGTTCTCGGACTTTAGATCCGCCACCATCAGGTGCGTCTTCAGCTCGTCCAACTCATCCTGCAGCTTCTTGCGCTCGGCCATGCTCTGGGCATATTCGCACTCCTTCTGCATATACAGCTCCCGCATCTTTGCCCGCTGCGTATTGAACTCGTTCTGCATCTTACGCATCTCAGTCTGCTGAATTAATTTATGCTGGTTTGTGGCGTCATCGTCACCTGAAGCACACAAGATTGTTGTCTTGGTCATTTGCGGGGACGACATTCATTTGCCGCTGGCCTCACTCACCATTTGCCGCCTCTGTGGAGACCCTGGGGTCTGTAGGGGATTCATTTTCCTCCATTTTTACTTAATTTTATTAAATTAGCTAATTTGTGTTTATTCTATCAGAACATTTCAGGCGGTCGGTCACACTGCTTTATTGTTTTTGTATGACGCGTTAACAGTGCTGACAGATTAGCTTGTTTCTGGCTATCAATATGTATGCAACAACGATTTTTAAAAACTTACAATATACAGATACAATAATAGTACAATTAATAAGAGGGAGGAAAAGATAAAAGGCTGTAGTGGACAATGTTCCTAATTTATCGCTAATTTAAATTTTAGAGAACGCCAAAAGCCACGAAATCTAGCTTCGAATCTAGCTTGTAATTGATTCAGTGTGGGAGAGTGACCAAATGTTGCCCAGTTGCCCAGATGCATGCTGCTGGGAATCCGAAAACTTGTAACCGTTTTGCGCTTAAGAAATTATATACATTAAATGTATGTACGTACAAAGTGGCGAAAAGAGCCGAACGCGAGAATTCACAGCCGAAGCTGACCCAGAGCTGTGCTAGAACGGAAATGATGAAATTATACGAGCTGATTTGATTCAAGTGATCAATCTTCTTGATTCTTCATACACACTCAAAACTTGTTATGTTCCTGGTGATTCTTTGCGTTTGAAACTACTCTTTGGCCAGATATACATATTTCAGAGTAAGCTCCAAGCTTCCAGATACATATACCCACCACGAGGCTTGTTTTGCAAACACTGCGGAACCAACAGAACAGCTGCTCTTGATAAACTGCCCAATTATTCATTTGCAAAAGAAACAACAGAAATATGGCTGCTCTCTTGAATTAAAGCAAACAAATTGCCAAGAAGTGGGAAAAATGAAAATATTATTTGTCTTGGCCATAGTCTAAGTATTAGAAATTTTGGAAATATTTTAAATGTTTTCTGTGATGATTGATCCAAATAAAAATGCCGAATTAATGCCATTTTATACATTTGTTTTATACATATGTATGTACGTATGTATCTTTAGATCGCTTTCTCATTCGCTTAATTTGTAATTTGGCCAATTCTTGAGTGTGTCCCAATTTTCTCAGAAAACTCTTGACCAAATGACAGCGGCCAAATCTAAGTATTACAAAGAATTCTCCGAAAAGGCAAATGAATATGTGAGTAACCCATCCATGGGTCTACGAACTACAGTTGTTGGAAATTTATGCAAATCTTTTAGGAAACAAAAAAGCGCGAGAAAAAGTCTCGAAGACGATAAATTATGTGGGGGGAAAAATGTGAAATTCATTAGTGTCAGGCCAAGCAAATGCGAATGAGAAAACATTTGTATAAATAACACTAGTATATGGATCCTATTTAATAAGTATTTAAACGGGTGTCTGTCTGCGACTTGGCTGTGCCTGGAACTACGCATTTAACAATGGGGAAATACAAGTTACTTACATTCGCATCTCCAGCCCGCAATTATAATACAATCAGCGGGCCAAAAAGCGACAGGCAGGCCCCATGTGGAGATCAGCCAGCAGCTAAGACGGCAATTTCGGTGGACTGGCCAGAAGAGTCAGTCTCCTCGGCGAGTGAGCTCACGACTGGCGATGTCGTCATTGTCGGCAGGCAGCCGGAGATTCGGACACACGTATCCCCAGAGCAAGCAGCAGCAGCCAGTAGCCCCAAACGACACTAATGTTGGCCCGACTGCTTGCTTCAGTCCCCACTGAATTCAAGAACGAGTCGGACGGAAGCGGTAGCCGCCTTCAAAATACGAAGAGAATAAATAAATGCGCGACGGGCAGTTCTACTTATAATCTTAAAAATAATACAAGAAAATATATATAAATACATATTGTTGGAATAATTCTACATATCACCGCGAGTGAGCGAAATTGAAATGATGTGGAAAAAGTGTCGAATGATTTGAATGTGCCCCATACCAATACCAATACCAATAGCAATCCCAAAGCCAAACCAACGATACATAAATCATATAGCATTAACCCCAAGAAGAGTTTGAGAGAACCCAACCCAACTGCAGATCATGTCTCAGACACAGAGCCCCACGCCCAGCACGCCGCCCGCGTCGCGTCGGGCCCACAGACCGCCGCGGATAAATATCCACAATCTCAACAGCGGCTCGGCCATGGGCATGAGCCATGGCTCGATGCCGCCCAGTACCCAGCCGCCGTACACCGCGCAGACAAACTACACGGGCAATGGGACACAGGGTCCGTACTGGCCGCCGGTGGCGAATCCATTTGGCTCGGGCAACTTTATGACCAAAGGCTACGAGGGCTTTCTCGATCTCACCAAGTCGGGCATGAGTTTCGGCGAGAAGTTCACCTACGGCCTGTACAACAAGTTCAGCAAGTGGTCCAGGAGCTGGTTCACCCACATGTTCCTCATAGTCGTCCTTGCACTCTACAGCGTGGGCGGTGCCCTGATCTTCCAGGCAGTCGAAGGTGAGAATTGGTTTGTTTGGGTTAGGCATAGGGATGCCCCTTCAACGCCGCTCGTCCGGAAGTAAACTGGTCCGGCACTTAACGACTCTGTTTGCTTATCAAGCTTATTGGCAATTGTTTGGGGAACAGCAAACAGTTGCCAGCACACATGCTGAATGATTTCGCTTTACTGTAATCATAAAACAAGCCCAGCCCCCCCATCAAATGGGGGGCTGATGAACGAACGCCTCGAATTTGTATCTGTTTCTGCGTACGCCGTTTCTCCAGGTGAAGCAACAATCAAATTGATTGGATACATTCGAGTGAATCACAGAAGAGTGGGAGGGGGATACGACGCGTGTGTCGTATAAACAACAACCGACATCCAATTGAAGATGATTAACGGGCAGATGGAGGAGGGAGTCCGTCCGGTGCCAAATAGGAGCATCACCTTCGATCGGTCGAATGAGTGACTGAATCTGAATCTGAATGGGAATGGGAAAACATGCTCCGATATTGGTCCGCTTTCTGGTTCTCTGGAATGCCTTTGTCGGCCCATCAGGCGTGACTCTCATCTCGAGTGGAAAATCCTTTCGAATTATTGCTCAAAGTGTTTGTTTGGCGGTGCTGCCAACTTCCCAATTGCCCACAAAGTTCATTCATTTGGCCTTCATGCAAGTGCCAAGGGGTCAAGGCCGTCCTAAACGTGTGCCTAAAGCTGTGAGTCAAATCCGTTTATTGCAGTGCGACAGGGAACACTCGAGTTACTGGAACTGCAGGGACTCCAGAAGCAGTTCTTTGAGGAAATGCGTGACATGACAAGGAACTCACAGCTGAACTCGGTAAGAATAAATAAATAATGATCTCTCAATGGAAGTAGAGCTAACTTTGGGTACTTTCAGCTATCCAAGACCGACTTTGACAGCCAAGTGCTGCGCATCATGAACAACCATCCGTCCGTGGTCGAGTCCCTGCTGCGAAACGGACTGGCGGAGAAGGCGGATCCCTGGTCCTTCTGGAACGCCATGGTCTACAGCTGCACCATCTACACTACCATAGGTGAGTGGCGCCCAAGGGCATAATTGTGGGTGCAAAAGCACCCACGCAAACGAATACAAGTACAACTGCCAGAATATCTATTTTTGTGCGGGCATCGCGATATTCCTCTTCATTAAGCCAACGAAATCTGTGACACAAAAGTTGGAAATAGTTTCGTATGTTTTTGCGTTGTGAGATAACAAATTTGTGTGTCTCTGCTGGCGCAGACAGTTATGAGATCTCTCTAGAGAGGCTGTTGTGGCGGTGGCAGAATTCTTTGGAAGACTGTCATCGTTCTTAATTGGGACTTATAAATAACCTGCAACTTATACAAGAATTTCCCCGAATAGCCGCCTCCTTAGACACTCTTAATTAGATTTGCTTTTAATTTCACTTTTCCCGCTCATAAATAAATATACCATGAAAATGGAAAATACTTTGACCCAACAAATAAGCAGCAAAATATTCTGAGTTCTGAATGAATATGGTGCCAAGGGGCTTTATGTGGCGGTTAGTTAATGATTTAATGGCACCTTTTATTCGATCGACATGCTTCGTGTTTCGACTTTATTGTTCCTTCTGTTTTCCGGCTTGTTTCACATTCGGTAGAATATTTAATTTGTGTGAATAAATCTGGCAGTTTGTTTCCACTCTTGACAAGTTTCCAACAAAAGAAGAGACACACTGTACGTATTAATAAATCTGCAAGTGTGGAAATCTGTTCACCCACATTGCCGCAAAAGCAATTAACACAAATTCGCAGCAATTTTCGCCCCACAACGATGACAGAGGAAAATGCCAAGAATATTCTGTGAGTGTTTCGAGTGTAATCAACTTGTCAAAATTGGCACAGGCTGTAAACAAAACTTGTCAGTGGAAGTGCCATCCAAAAAGCCGTCTCCACATTATTATTATCCTTAGATTCGATCGTTAAGATTTCGATCATACGGCCCGTGGCACACACGTGAGAATAGCGGCTCGATATATTTGTGTGTTTATTTTTAGGCATACGAATGTCATACCTAGGTATTACCCAACCCAGGTGGGGGTATGACTCAACGTGAAAAATTGAATCAATTTCTCATGCTGAAAGATATTTCGTGAATGGGAAATGTCTGGGGAACATCGTACAATCGATCTTCATGAGATGTAAACAGCCCGCAGAAGTAATCATTAAGCAGGCAGACACTTCACTTCATAATTTCGAATAAAAATCAATATGTCTGGGAATCGTAAAGCTGTTGCTGCTCCGATTAAAAATAACGCTCTCTGGGACTTTACTTTGCGCCACTGTGGCCCGGCCCGAAAATGCCAAACAGATCTCGATTGTATGATGGTGCATGCCCAAGTGGAAAATAAATCTCGAAAGCCATTCGGAAATGTTGAATGAAATTGCGAATAATAAACAAACACTGAAATCTCGGCGAAATTCCATAAAAGCGAATACGATCCGTCATCAACCGGCTGAGCGATTGCGAGGGATGGTGCGGTGGAAAGTATCTGATGAAAATTAGCAGAACATTTTATTTATTTCGATGCATACGAGTGGCGAAATGTTCTACGGCTACAATGACGTCACAAGTGGGTACTGATCAAATATGAATTCGCATTTCATGGAAAATATTAGCCAATATTTGTAGCACTTTCGTTTTCGTTCCTCCCCTACTAAAAATTATATGCCAGAATTGTAAACTACGAAAAACGGAAGGAAACCCCCATGAAAAACAAAAACTTTGGCATTTTAAACAAATCGCAGAGAATTCAGTGGAAATCGAATGAGTTGAATTCATGGATAAATCTGATACATTATCTCCCCGGGGAGTGCACAGGGGGGGTACATATTGTTTTGCTATTAAGAGTCATCCTCCTTTGTTAACGGAATTTATTGGTTTAATTTAGTGAAATTTCCATTGGATCAATGCAAAGTCTGTTCTGTTCGCTATCATTAAATGCCCAAGATTGCTTGTAAGCTTTTTGGTGTAAGTTATCTTTTCCGGCGACAATTCGCTCTAAGTGTTTTCTGTACTCTGTGAATTTATTGGTTATTGGTTTTAACTTTGTTAGGGCTTTTCATTCCTGAACGTCTGCAATTTGAATTTATTCGTCATTCGCCGTGTGGTTCTTCAATTACTTAAATTTAAACAGCCTCATTGCTAGGTGGCGCCACTTGAAAATGTATTGTATATACACATATATGTAGATATCGTTTAGCGCCATGGGTTTCATCAAGCACAAATATAATATCAAAGACTATTTATTTTGCCTTTGGTTTCATAACAGCCAGAGGAGTGCCGTAGCAGACAGTTGCATGGCAACATTCATTTATGGTTTCATAGCAGCCAGCCTTAAAAATCTCAAAGCATAGATAAGCATTTGTGGATTCTGTTTTATGTGTTTTGTGTGATATGTGATAAGGAATATTTAATTATAGAGTAATTTCAAAAGTATTCCAAATTACGAAAGACCCCAAGTGAAGACCGCCATAACGAATAGGTGACAAAATTATATGTACGCCATACATACATACATACATATGTACATTTCTATTCAGAGAGATTCTTCAGAGAGAAAGAATATTTCGAGAGGCAGGAATTCTTATACATACATACATGTAGCTATGGCCGAACAGCTGTTGTGGCAGCCAACCAAAAATATAGACAACAATTTGAAAATTTTGAGTTTTCCACACGCTCTCTCAGCAGTACGTTAGACGTGGTCGAGCGGGCAATGTAGGCGAAAAGTGACGATTCTAGCACATCTACATATATCATCCGAATAGATAAATTCCTATGAGTATTTGCGACTGTCTGATACATACCCACAAAAGATATCGAAAAATTCCAAATTAATTGGATGCTGCAATTTTCATTTTGCGGATCAAGTGTACATCCATTGGGGGGGCACTATAAAAAGAAATTGCAGCCCGAAAGTGATATAATTACAGCGAGCAATATCTGTGCTTTGGATGGGGAAAGCGAAAATATGAACCAGTTATAAATAGACGACATGAGCGAGAGCTAGCCCCAAAGATAGATCGAGAAAGTAGCACAGCACACTGGACATGGACGTGGAGCAGGCAGCCTCGGCCGAGGCCAGACAGCAGCACCAGCGTCATCGTCGCCGCCTGGGACGCAGCCAGCGCGAGCAGACACCCGTCACACAGCGCCAGCGGGAGGGGGAGGATTCTGGTGCAGATCCCTCCCCGCAGATGGTGCGCATGCAGATACGGCCGCCGGGCACTCTGTCCGCACACGAGAGCAAGATCCTGCGTCGCAGGGACAAGACTTTTGCCAGCACCGCGAGCAGAAGCCAATCCCAGCCACGAGAGGCCGAAAAGTTGAGCAGCCCGGCTGCCGTGCAGCTGATCAAGCACCGCAGCCTGTCCTCGCCCCGCCACAAGGAGGAGTCCAGCGAAAGCGAGCTGACCACCGGCAGCTCCTACGCAGCCACAAGCACACAGCCGATCCCCGTCGGTGGTGGCCAGAACGACACACTCAGCCGTCTGGAGCAGAACCTGCAACGATTCGAGGACGAGCGGAGGCGCTTCGAGGCCGAGAAACGGCTCTTCGAGCGAGAGAAGCGCGAGCACAAACAGCGCCATCGCCAGCAGCTGGACAACGAGGAGCGAAAGCGACTGCTTCAGAGCTACCGCAAGCTCAGCGATCGCATTCAGCTGCCCCAGGACGAGGAGGAGCGCCGCCGTCTGATCCACAGTCTGCGGCTGCAGCGGCATGAGACGCCAAAGGTGCGCAGTCGGAATCGCAGCAGCGGCTACGAGGAGTCATCCACGCAGTTCAGCTCATCCGAAGCGGATGTGGCAGAGGAGATGCCCTCGCGAAGGCCCATCAAGCCGCCACAAGAGCTACGTGGCTGCTCCCATTCGAGGAGCGCCACCTCCGCCCCCGTTAGCCGTCCCCAAGCCGGAGGATCGACGGTCCGTAAGTCGTAACAACTCCCTGTCGCCGGTGCGTCCGCAACGACGCTCCAAGACGCCCGAGCAGCGGGCGGAGATCAGCCGCAAGGACGAATATGTCGCGGTGGGGGAGTCTCAGACAGACTCCTTCCGGGCGCGACCCTCGGAGGCGGAACAGCAGTCGGAGCTGATGCAGAAGTACATGGAGGCAGCGGAGAGAGCGGCCAAAGCGGAGGCAGCCCTGGCCCAGAGCCTGGCGGGGGAGGGCGTGCGAAGAAGCGCCAGCCTGCGTCTGGCCGAGATCGAGTCGGGCCGCAAGGTGGAGGGCAAGCGGAGCTCCAGCCTGGAGAGGCCACTGAGAGCCAAGCGTTCTGCCAGCCTGGAAAGGAGCAAGGAAGTGGAACAAATTGTAGCTCCAGCCATATCGGAGGAGCCCATAGCAGAGCCCGAACCAGAATTGTCTCCAGGTGAAGTCACCATTCCGAAAGTGGAGCCCAAAGTGACGCTCCTGCAACGCCTGCGGAATCTCTTCAAGCGAAAGCAGAAGGCGGAGAAAGTGAAAACTATTGTCGTCAGAGATCTGGCCACAGAACCGCTGCCCGACAAGATAATTTCACGTCCGTTTGTGTTCCACTTCTGGCTGGAGGCACGGCACGAGTGGCGACGCCTCAAGATGGACTACCCGCGGCGCATGGAGGAGCTGCGATGCCTGCGTAACACCTGCATCGCGCACTGCATTTGTCTGGCCCTCCTGCTGGGCTTTGGGGGCCTCATGTTCCGCTACACGGAGGGGGCGTCCGAGGACATCTACAAGTGCGAGGTGCGCAAGGTGAAGCGAGATTTCATCGACAACCTGTGGGTCGTCAGCCACAACATGAGGTACTGAATCCCATTCGCCCCAGTGGTAGTCGGTGGTGAACCTCTTTTTGCTTTGTCTTTGCCAGAGAGGATGACTGGAAGTCGATGGCCCGCCAGAAGCTGCGAAAATTCGAGGATGAGCTGAATACGCTGGCCGAGTTGGGTCTACGTCGGTATCCGGGCCAGAAGTCCTGGAACTTTGTCAATTGTTTTATCTTCTGTTGGACCGTAATCACGACCATAGGTAACGGGGTCCTGGTGGATGGGGAATATCGCGATGCCTATAATGCCATAGCTCCACAGAGTATTCTAGATCAATAGATCCTCACAGTTCTAGTCTCGATGCATAAACCTAAAGATCTCCTTTTGCTCTTCCTCCACAGGTTACGGCCACATAACACCCAAGACGAAGCTGGGACGCTCCCTGACTATCATCTATGCCATCATCGGCATTCCCATGTTCCTGATCGTGTTGGCCGATCTGGGCAAGCTCTTCACGCGCTGCGTCAAGTTCCTGTGGGCCTATGTGCGTCGGGTGTACTACACCCGCTCGTGCCGCCGCATCCGGAAACAGCAGCAGATCCGTGACGCGATGACCGGCTTCAATACGGTCTACGACATGGCCATGCGGCGGCCCAGCATGTTCTTCGGCAAGTCGCCGGAGGAAGAGGCCGAGTCACAGGCAGACGCCGAGGCGGGCAGGTCGTTGGGCACATCGCACCCGGAGACACCCACATCGCCGTATCCGGAGACCTACGAGGTGGACGATGAGTTCAATCTGCCCGTTTCGGTTGCCTCCCTGCTGCTCATCTCCTACATCCTGCTGGGCACGGCCGGCTACGTGATGGTGGAGTCCGACTGGGAACTGCTGGACTCTTTCTACTACGTCTTCATCTCGATGTCTACCATTGGCTTTGGCGATTTGGTGCCCAGCAATCCCTTCTATGTGATGGTCAGCATGATATACCTGATCTTCGGCCTGGCGCTCACCTCCATGTTCATCAACGTGGTGCAGATCTGGCTGAGCGACCACTTCAAGCGGGCTAGCGCCAAAGTGGGTGCCACCATTGGCATGGGCATGGCCAGCGAGTTCGGTGACGAGGGCGGCAGCCAGCTGAAGACCCCGTCGGAGCTGGCTTCGGTGCACGGCTCGCGACTGGACCGCATCGAGGAGGATGGCCAGGAGCCATCGTTCACCCACCCGGGTCTGAATGGCTCTGGCACCAGTCCGCCGCCGCTCACATCCATCCTGCGCGCACCACGCCCAATGTCGCCCATGGATTTGAATGGAAGCCCGATGCCAGTGGATGCCAGTCCTCCGCCTCCTCCTCTGATGCCCAAGCGTCAGGTCTCTGTGGATCCCCCAGCGCCAGCGGAGGGGGAGAAGAAGAAGAAGAAGCACAGGTTCTTCTAGAACCGCAACCTGACATCCATCGCCTAGTACTAGAACCTCATAAATGACAAGGAAATTTCAATCGAATTAACACCGATTCGCCGCTGTTCTGAGCGAACAGTTGCACATTACACACACATTTTTATTGATTTGTTATTTAATTGTACTTCCCATCATTCTAGGCTAAGATTAATGTTAATATCACAATACAACTGCAGTTGCCAAAATATTTCATACTCTTTATTGAACGTTATTATGCTGCCAGCCGCAATCAATGCCAACTGCGCTTAGATGAGAAATGGCTGATCTTGCTATCTCCCTCTGTCGACTGCATGTCGACTTACATGTGTTTGTGTCTGATAATCCGAATGCAGAAAGAGACAGGATAAATCCAAATGCATAGGGAGAGAGGACCCAGCTGCACATCTGTCTGCTGAGGAGAAGGGGGAGGAAGGAGCAGAGTCAAGGCAGGGGTGCCAGACAGAGAGCGAGAACCAGACAGCAAAGAGAAGTGCAAGGTATATAGCATATGAGGTATTTTACCCTTACTCTCTCTCTCTCTCGCTCGGAAGCACACTCACACATTGACTAAATCAAGCTATGCTAATAATAATATTTATATATGTACATCAATTAGTATTATTAGAAAACCTTGTACTGAAGCAGCTGCTCTTTGACTGCTCTCACAAGCTGGCATACCTTTAGGTTGTTTTTACCTTGTCGAATCCAACAACAAAACGAGCAACATGAGGGGTGAGAGAGCGGCAGGCACAGCACAGGAAACGTTGAGCTGAGAGCGTTTCGTTTCGTCCTCGCTCTCGCAAACGACAGGACATCAGCAACCACAACGCTCGTCGCTTGGCTTCGTGTTCGGGTTTACTTTCGTTGGCATTTGGTAGCGTTTTGGCTTTTTCCAACGGCACATTTCGAAATCAACAACGGCACGGTATACTTCTTCGCTCGCGCACTACCAAAAGAGGCGCCAAAAGTTTACGTTTCAGTGCAGATGACACATATCACACATCACACTCTCTCTCACACGGAAAATTGGCAACACGCGAAAAGTGTAAAGAACGCAAAGGGGCTAGAGCAAAATTAAGCATCAGAGAATTGGTGAATCAGAGAATTCGAAAATAAAACGAAAGCGGAAGCAACACGAAGAACATACATAAATTGATCGCGACAAGAGAGAGAGAGAGAGCAGAGAGCAGAGAGCAAGAACGCCGGCTGTTTGTCTCTGTCAGACTCACACACGCTTTAGGGTTTGCTGTTCCGCCAGGAGAAGAGAACAAGAACTGAAACTACAGCTACAAGGCAAACCAGGTGTGCGGGCCCTGTGTGAGCGCCTGATTCTTTTCACGTTTTGCATGCATGCTCTGACGGCACTCTGCCAGATGCAATCCCCCGTTTCGGTTTTTGTTTTGCTGCATTCGTTCGCATAGGAATATATCGCGATATTCGCGTAGTTAAGTGAAAACCGACACAAAAGTGGGCAAGCAAGGAAGGAGTGGTGCTGCAACACGCTTACAGTTGATTCAGAAGAAGCTGCAAAGATGTCCGCAATTAGCAGTCGCAATCAGAAAATGGAACAACAGGTTGGTGTGAAAGATAATCGAGAGGCTCTAAACGGCAGAATCATGGAATTTTCCTATATTTATCATGTAATAATTACAAATTATTACGCTGGCTCCTTATTGGCATAGAAATTTTGGTCGAATCATCATTTGAACAGACTTCAAAGGCAGTTCCATTTTGGAGCCATAAAATGAGTTCCAGCTGATGTATCGCGTTCTGTCGAGGGGAACTTGTATCACATTATATTGATAGTCCAAGTACGGAGCATTCAGATTGCTGTAAGACATACCATATACTCGTAGATAGTTATTGGATTTACATTTCGATACACTCTCATACTTGCCTCTGTATGCAATTCTTGAACCACCAGCCCGCCAGGTGGTACTGGGCGCAATTCATATTGTTTGCACTGTCATTATCCCGATCGAATGTGGAAAACTTATTGCCCTTGTGGTAGGTAAGGGAATCGCCAGCCGTTCCGGTATAGCCGCCCAGTATTTTCAGAGAAAATGCCTCAGTTTCATTTCCAATGCCAAATTCATCGTATTTTGCAAATTTCTTATCGCCCTGGAAGCTCTCCATGTAGATGTACAGTTCGAAGGGCTGCGACGAGGTTAGGGCGTGCAGCCGGTCCAGACCGATAAAGAAATCCCCCCTCAGCTCGCCGAACCCCGCCTTGTATTCGCTCCAGTCGCGGTAAAAGTTGGTCAGACCATCCTGACGCCTCTGAATAACCATCCAGCCCAGGCCGGCCAGCTCTGAATCGCAAAGAACAGTAAGAGTGCCGTGGCCGGGTACTCGGATGACACTGGTCTCGTTGTGCTTGCCCCCAATCAGGCAGGATGTGGGATAGGTTCTATCCTCGTCAATAATATCGTTTGTCAACTGCTTGAGAGATTCGCGACGCTCCTCCAGCCTGCAGCGGGTAAAGAGAATACGCATTGAAACAGCTGTATGTACCTAAATATGTACAAATGTATGTACTTATGTAGGTATTGTCATACGTACTCAATCAACATCTTATCAACTGCTGCCAGTAGCGCCGACGTCGATTTGACTTCCTGATAATAATAATTATTGAATTGTGGATTTTTAGTTTTGATTTGCGAACCCGGGTTAAAGGCTTACCTTTTGCACTTCCGAGGAGCCAGGAGTTTCGGCTTGGGTCGCACCGATAATGTGGAGGCAGAGTGCCACAAGGGCCACAGCAACACTTGTACAATTCATTTATGATTCCGCTGAGGCAATGATTATTATTAGGGAAGACACCACGAAACGATCGCGCTTGTATCGACTGAACCGAACGAAGTTTTTGCTTGAGCTTATACGGCAAATTGAACAGATCATCAATACTCAAAGAATAAACAAAGAGAAGCTTTGATGATTATGAGTGAAAGCTTCTAGACTTTAAAGAGCGGGAGCTTAATTTGTGGCTGCCAACTGAAAACACTCTTCAAACCACATTTGAAATACATCAACAATGCTCTCCATAGTGAATCATAAATCGAATGGAAAACTGTGAGAATAGCGAAATTTTCATTGATACATTTTGGCAGCCCAAAGACCCCCCATTGTCCACTCTTTAGCCACAAATATGACCATTAGAAATGGGACTCCATCCATAGCCGCGGACACACGGACACCCCAAACCAGCCGAGTGTTTCAATGGCCATTGCCGTGGGGTTTTGTTGTGCCCTGTGCTGCCTGGCCACCTGGCCGTCTGTTGCCCGGGCAACGGCGTCCAAATAAATCGAAACTCACCGAAACTACCAAAGCCTTTGAGCGGCTCGCTCCACCTCCAGGCCACCCGAGTGTCACCCTTCCTGGCTACAGCTGCATTTGCTGCAGCTCGATACAACGACTGTCATTGGCCCTAATTATGTTAGGTGGCAAGGTAGCGCTAGCACTGGCACTGCCAGTGGCAGGAGCTTCTAAAAGAAGGACACCCCCCACATAAATCGAATCGTTGCCAAGTGTTTGCGTTGGTTCGATTTTCGATTAGGGTCTGAGATTGCTTATAAAACATGTAGAAGCTGCTCACGGCTCGCTCGCCGAAGCTCCTTAATGGAATGACATCACGAAGACGTACAATTATTTCAAGCAATTTCATTTCCAAATAAAATACGCCTAAAAATGTTCGTAGCTTTAAAAATTAATAGGAGAAAACAAGGAAGGGGAAGGTGTTAACGATTGAAGGGAGAAATTATGGAAATGGAAATTGAATATGTTTGAGCTTGACCAAAATCAGATTTGAGTATTGCTTGTTCTTTGAATATTTAAAAGGTACACAAAATATAAACGATGAAGATCTCCATTCAGGTAAGCTTTCACTCTTCGAAGATCTTCACCCATTAATATTATCATACAAAGTCTGGGGTTTGCTAGTTTCTTGGTAGAATATCTCAATATTGTATGCATATTTTATGCATGCCATAACTTCAGATAACCCCCCCCAACGATTTATAGGTGGCAATAAAAAGAGGAAAAAACACACACACATAAAGTAGAGTGAAGGCAATTTGCACTTGGAATAGGATGTGGTAGGAGGGAAGAGTATTACTCGTAAATCAACATAAAGATGTTAAGCGGTCGCTAAAAATATACACAAAGGATTAATAAAGCCTTTGGACGGGACTACACTCGAAAATAAAAGGTGGCTACCCACCACCACCCACCCCCCACCCACCAAACATTGTTGTTTTGTGTTTGTGTGTCCTGGGTAACCAGGGGCAACTGTCACAACAAGCCCATGGAAGGGGGGCGCGAGGGGATACACAGGAACAGAACCCAGAGGCAGACAGAATGACAGAAAGAACTAGAAATATATGAACAATATTTGGTATTGTTTCCATGTTTGCTGTTGTCCCATGGAATGTCATTAAGGTGGGTGGGTAAGGGGATAAAATCGATGGTTACTCGAGCTCTATCTGGCTCTGTCGTGGAAAGCGGTAAAGCGGAGTGATAAGTCACTGGATGGTTTGCCACATGTGAACATAATTTACCCCCCCAAACCCCCCGTGCAAGAGGCATGCCACTCTATTGTCCTGCGAACTGCTCCGAACTTTCCTTCACACGAAATCCCCATAAAGCACGAGAAGAGTCCCAAAAACAACGGAAATGACGCATCGCACCTTCACTTTCTCTGCTTTTTTGTGGTTGTGTGTGTGTGTGGGGGGCGTGGGAGTGGGTGTTACAGTTGTATTGCCCTCTTGGCTTTTACCTTTTCGGCTTTAGGCCTGTAATTTGTGTTCTGTTGCTTCAGGCCACAGGCCGAGGTTCTTGACCCAATCGTGGAGCAGGCAGTGAAAATTGTGGAAAACGCCGTCGGCTTTCCATAAACCAGACCACCAGTCGCCGCACTAATCGAATGTCGGACATCAAAGTCGGGGGCTTCAATGGTTAATAAGCCCCTGGCCGAAAAGTGCTTTTCAAATTGCATTTAAGCCTGTCCTTAAGAAGTGATTGAAAGATTGCAGTGCTTTTAAGATTTGCATCTCAACTATTCGTTTAACGATTCCGTGGTTTTCCTTTGACTAGACTACCGGGAGAAGTGATGAGCAGTTGGTGGAGGCTTAGCAGTAGCTCCAAACAAGCCCCCAAGGCACATGCGAAAAGCGCCAAAAGATGATTTTTCGTCTTTTATAATTTATGACAAGCTCTTTGGCAACTGTTCGCACCTAAGCGCCAGCAAATCCCCGACGACTTTTCGCTGAAAATTTCACAGAAATCAACAGGCAGGCAGGCAGACGGGCAGAGCAGAGCAGAGCAGCGCAGCGAGTGAGAAAAGTTGAGCGTACAGTTAGCGGAAACTCTGCGTAATGGGAAAACTGCACACAGAGAAGTCTCATCGCAGGGCAGCTTCTAACCCAAAAAGCAATTCGGTTTCCAATTAGAGCTCACAATTTCTGGAATATATACTGGTATATTCTATATATATACTCTACGAGTATATATGTACTGTCTTTTACTCGCACGTCTACTAATAGCTAGCAATCAATTTGCTGGCTAAAAGCTTTGTCCCCCCCCATCTCTGGCTTGGAGTGGAGTCCATCTCCTGTTTCAGTTTGAGAGTACGCGTCCTGCTTTTGCTTTTGCCACTTTTCGCTTTGGCTTAAACTACAGTTGGCTGTTGTCAGTTGGCAGCTGGCAGCTTAAGAGCTGAAGAGCTGCTGCACTCTCAAATTGCAGGCTCACATCTCGCTCTGGTAACTGGTACAACTTTTGGTCAAGCTGCACGAAAACAGGCCATCAAAAGCACTCCACAGTCAGAGATAACTTTAAGGGGGGGAATTTCAGTGAAAATACGACTATGGTGGGCGGAGGAGGGGGTTAGAGGAGCAGTGCCATAAACATTATTGCGACATTTTTGTACACCAAAAGGGGAGGATGGGAAAAGTGCGAACATGGGTCCTGGGGCGCCTCATTTCCATTGCAGATTTCATTAATTGCCGTTTCCCCTGCGAGTTGCGCTGCCAACTTGATTCAATTTATCAGTCACAAAACCCCAGCCAGCAAGCCCCACAACCGGAAAAAGTTTTGCATATGCAGCCCAGGAGCTATACGCTGCAAATTAATTACATCCCTGGGAATGGGATGCAAGGCTGCAACTTTTGGCATTCATTTTGCGCTATCTTTTTTTTTTTCACAGCAATGCTAAATAATTTATCTGCACGGCAAAATATGAATAAATCGTTTTTAATTGGGTAACTTTTGGCTAGGGCTTGTCATCCGTGTCCAACTCCTTGTCCGTGCGCCCATTTGTTACCGAAAAGCCTCTTACTAACAAGACTCGCTATTTCTATGGCAGAACTTAGCAATTAAAAACAATGCAAATTTTGCAATTTATTGCAGGAAATTCGAAAGTAAAATTTTCAGTTCTTTAATCGACTTTTCTTGTGGTTTTGCTGCCACTCGTGTGCGGTTTGGCTGCTACTGACAGACATCAGACTTTCCCAACCACAAGCTCCCATCACTGCACTGATTGAGTGGTTGTCCTGTTGGTGGCAGGAGCAGTCGGTGGTCACACTGCGGTTACGCCTTTGACAAACTCACACATACTACACACCCAGCAGCAGTCTGTGCAGAAAATGGCATTCACTTCGTTTCAATCCAGACCAGACCAGACCGCTTAAGCCAATTCCCAGTACTGTAAATTAACAAGGTCGTTAGTCGGCTTGTCGTGGGAGCTCGAGCATTCGAGCAATGGATTTGGCATCCAATTAAGGTGCCAGGACACGTGCCTGCCCCATGCTGTCGCTTCCGATTAATTTATGCGTCTCTCGTTGCATTGTTTATGACCCATCCGGTCCGCTCTAATATTAATACAAATTCCGTTGTTGTTTCTGTCTCTTTCAATTGAATACTAATTAAAATTAAATAAAGCCTGAACGCAGTGCAGTGCAGACAGGATTAAGGATAAAGGATAATGGTGGGTGTTGTATTTGGTGCGGCTTTTGCATTTCGATAAACCAACCAATGAATGTTAATTGGAAAATTATGAAAAGTGTCGTTCAGTGCCGAACGATGGCTAAAATCCGATAATTCAATTTTGTGGCCTGAATATGGAATGTGCAATGGGAATGGAAATGGAAATTCCCTGGCTATAGAGTCGTTAACTGAATTGAATTGGAAAGTGGCCCGAATACAAATATAACGTTATTTAATGTCACTTGTACGTCATGTGGCCCAGGGGAATGTCTGTTTCCGTCTCCATGTCCGCGACTTACTTTGCTTTATTACAAAATCATATCCTTCCCTCCACCGGGACGGGACCCACTCTCAACAGAGACTTTCACATTTTCCTGCGTTTCCACTGCGCGCTGCCTGCTGCCTGCTTCTGCTTTCTGTTGTCGCACGAAATGAAAATGTCCGAAAAGACCTTAATAGTCAGATTATTTCTGGCTGCCATCTTGCACAAGTCGTCAGTTCCCTGACACTGTCTGTGTCTTTTTGTGTAACTTTTTCCAGTGACTTTGCCTCAGACCTGCCTTGGCGTCACTTCAATTTGCATATAAATCGTGCATTTAAAGAGATAAACTAAACCAACAAAAAATACCAAGGAGCAAATCCAATTGATGTTTGCTGTTGGCTGCCCGCTGCTTGCTGCCTGCTGCTCTTCTGTTTCAATATTTATGGCAATTTCCGATATGCAGCCACAAGGCAAGTGGTTTGTTTTTCCTTCTGCTCTGCTCTGCTCTGCTCTCCAGCTGTCAAATGCAAATATCCTTATATGTACATATGTATTTATTTAACTTGATTTGCGTTTGTTTTGTCGAAATTAATTGTCAAATGCAAAGTTTTCAAT